TGTAACAATACAGGATGTAATACCTATAACATACAAAATACATGTTATTAACTGTTGCTGGTCAACAGCAGGCTCTTAGTAGTTAAGTCTAGGGGAGTCAGAGTTATACCTGGAAGTTCTACTGTGTATGGTTAGTGTGCAAAGCCCCCAAGTTGCTCAAGGGTCAACCGTAATCCTAAAAGAATCTAATACAATATTGTACACAGTAAGTGGTCAATAAATAATGAATTGAGCTAAATAAGAACACATAAATCTCAGAATATGTGCAACCTGATCCTGGTACACAGAGATCTCTCTGTACATATCCCTTTTCTCAGTTCATGCCCTTCTTTCAGCTAGAAAGGGCCTTATTTTGAATAAGTTGTATATAGAGCAAAAATCCCTCTAAGAATGCTGTGTGGATTCCCATGCGCAATCTGGCTTAGTCCATTGCTTCATGCCCACCCTGGACATGAAGGGCCGTGCCACAGCGGGTCTCTATGCACCCACCCTGTCTATACCTGAGCAACGCATTCCTCTTTGCTGCTCTCCTACAGGCTCCAGAGTGCAGTGACACCAGCACAGAGCTCTGCTCAACGTCCCTCTGTGCTTTCACGATGCTGACGGATTATGAAGGTAGGGAAGAATGTAGAGCCAGGAGGTCATGAGGAGGGGAACTAATTTATAAAGTCACATTTGTAGAACTAAGTGCATCCAACAGTTACCAGGGGAAAGGTAGCCAAAAGCTATACCAACACCACCCAAGTCAAAACCAAAACAGGAAAAAAAAATTATGTGGATATAGAATTTCTGAAAGCATCATTCCTGAGGTGCCTTATCCAGGAGGAAGAGTTAAAATAATAGTTTAACTGGAAATAAATACATGCTAGAAGCATTGCATATTAGGGGGGACAGAGAGCGAGAGCAAGAGAGAGAGAGAGAGTGTGTGTGTGTGTGTGTGTGTGTGTGTGTGTGTGTGTGTTTCAGACGTAGTTTTGCTCTTGTTTCCCAGGCCGGAGTGCAATGGTGCCATTTCCGGTCACCACAACTTCCACTTCCCAGGTTCAAGCGATTCCCCTGCCTCAGCCTCCCGAGCAGCTGGGATTACAGGCATGCATCATCACACCTGGCTAATTTTGCATTTTTAGTAGAGACAGGGTTTCTCCATTTTGGCCAGGCTGGTCTCAAACTCCCAACCTCAGGTGATCCGCCTGCCTCGGCCTCCGAAAATGCTGGGATTACAGGCATGAGCCACCATGCACAGCCAGAGTCTGTTTTATTTTATTCCCAAAGTACTTTCTCAAGCACACTAACATGAACCCCCTAAGAGACATTTCACATTAAATTAAGAATACTCCCTAACTCATGTTATGAGACCAACATCATCCTTATACCAAAACTTGGCAGAGACACAACTAAAAAAGACAATTTCAGGCCAATATCCATGATGAACATAGATGAAAAAATCTTCAATAAAATACTGGCAAACCAAATGCAACAGCACATCAAAAAGCTTATCCATCACGATCAACTAGGCTTCATCCCAGGGATGCAAGGCTGGTTCAACTACGCAAGTCTATAAACGTAATTCACCACTAAACAGAACCAAAGACAAAAATCACATGATTATCTCAACAGATGCAGAGGCCTTTGACAAAATTCAACAGCCCTTTATGCTAAAAATTCTCAATTAACTAGGTATTGAAGCAACGTATCTCAAAATAATAAAAGCTATTTAGGACAAACCCACAGTCAATATCATACTGAATGGGCAAAAACTGGAAGCATTCCCTTTGAAATCTGGCACTAGACAAGGATGCCCTCTCTCACTAATCCTATTCAATATAGTATTGGAAGTTCAAGCCAGAGCAATCAGGCAAGAAAAAGAAATAAAGGGTATTCAAATAGGAAAGGAGGAAGTCAAATTGTCTCTATTTGCAGACAACATGGTTGTATATTCAGAAGACCCCATCATCTCAGCCCAAAATCTCCTTAAACTGATAAGCAATTTTAGCAGTCTCAGGATACAAAATCAATGTGCAGAAATCACGTGCATTCCTATACACCAATAACAGACAAACAGAGAGCCAAATCATGAGTGAATTCCCATTCACAATTGCTACAAAGAGAATAAAATACCTAGGAATACAACTAACAAAGGATGTAAAGGACCTCTTCAAGGAGAACTACAAACCACAAGGAAATAAGAGAGGACACAAACAGATGGGAAAACATTCCATATTCATGGTTAGGAAGAATCAATATCATAAAAATCGCCATACTGCCCAAAGTAATTTATAGATTCAATGCTATCACCATCAAGCTACCAATGACCTTCTTCACAGAACTTGGAAAAAACCACCATAAACTTCATATGGAACCAAAAAAGAGCCTTCCAAACAATCCTAAGCAAAAAGAACAAAGCTGGAGGCATCAGACTACCTGACTTAAAACTATACTACAAGGCTACAGTAATCAAAACAGCATGGTACTGGGACCAAAATAGAGATATAGACCAATGGAACAGAACAGAGGCCTCGGAAGTAATGCCACACACCTACAACCATCTGATCTTTGACAAACCTGACAAAAACAAGCAATGGGGAAAGGATTCCCTGTTTAACAAATGTTGTTTGGAAAACTGGCTAGCCATGTGCAGAAAGCTGAAACTGGACCCATTCCTTATCCCTTATACAAAAATTAACTCCAAATGGATTAAAGATTTAAACATAAGACCTAACACTATCAAAACCCTAGAAGAAAACCTAGGCAATACCATTCAGGACATAGGCATAGGCAAGAACTTCATGACTAAAACACCAAAAGCAATGACAACAAAAGCCAAAATAGACAAATGGGATCTAATGAAACTTAAGAGCTTCTGCACAGCAAAAGAAACAGTCATTAGAGTGAACTGGAAACCAACAGAATGGGAAAAAATTTTTGCAAGCTACCCAACTGACAAAGGGCTAATATCCAGAATCTACAAAGAACTAAAACAAATTTACAAGAAGAAAACAAACCCATCAAAAATTGGGTGAAGGATATGAATAGGCACTTTCAAAAGAAGACATTTATGCAGCCAACAAACATATTAAAAATGCTCATCGTCACTGGTTATTGGAGAAATGCAAATCAAAACCACATTGAGATATCATCTCACACCAGTTAGAATGGTGATCATTAAGAAATCTGGAGACAACAGATGCTGGAGAGGATTTGGAGAAAAAGGAACATTTTTACACTGTTGGTGGGAGTGTAAATTAGTGCAGCTATTGTGGAAGACAGTGTGGTGATCCCTCAAGGATCTAGAAATAGAAACACCATTTGACCCAGCAATCCTATTACTGGATATATACCCAAAGGATTATAAATCATTCTGTTATAAAGACACATGCACACATATGTTCATTGCCACACTGTTTACAATAGCAAAGACTTGGAACCAACCCAAATGTCCATCGAGGATAGACTGGATAAAGAAAATGTGGCACATATGCACCATGGAATACTATGCAGCCATAAAAAGGTTCATATCCTTTGCAGAGACATGGATGGAGCTGGAAACCATAATTCTCTGCAAACTGACACAAGAACAGAAAACCAAACACTGCATGTTCTCATTCATAAGTGGGTGTTGAACAATGAGGAAACATGGACACAGGGAGGGGAACATCATACACAGGGGTCTGTTGGGGGGTTGGGAGCTAGGGGAGTGATAGCAGGGATTGGGGAGGTTGGGGAGGGATAACATTAGGAGAAATACCTAATGTAGGGGACGGGGAGATGGAGGCAGCAAACCATCATGGCATGTGTATACTTATGTAACAATCCTGTGAGATCTGCACATGTACCCCAGAACTTAAAGTATAACAAAAAAAGAAAAAGAAAATACAAAATGTATGTCTATGAAGTCTCCCCACTGCTGGTTTCTCAACTTGCCTCCGTCTTCTTTCCCTTTTAATGAACTGGGACATGAGGTGAAACAGAGAGGATAAACGGAGTGTAAGAAATGAGGAGAGAAGAGAGTGAAGCTAAAATAGGAAATCAGGAAATGCAATTAGATCCCCCCCGTCCCTCACATGGGGCCACCCTCTCATTGTCCTGGATGGCTTCTTCCTGAGGGTTCTGCATGGTTCCTCAATCCCAGGGAATTCCACAGGATGTTCCACCCAAGACTGTTGGGCTCCCACCTCTATCTTTTGCCACTCAATGAAGTAATTTCACTGCCTGGAAAGAAGAATGATACTTTCTGGTCCTTATTTCACATCTAATATAGAGAGGTCAATTGTATTATTCCTAAATATCTTTGAACAAATAGAAGTTTTAAAGCATGTATACTACCTAGTTGCTCTTCCTCAAGCCAGGGAAAACTACAGATTCAACAATTAAAATTGAGATAGACTCTTTCCACTTAATGCTACCATTCTTGCTTTATTTCATGAGAATGAGAATATAATAATGTGCCATACATTCACTTTGGGGAAATATTTATTTATGTTGTAAATATTTATCATTACAGAAGACACATGAGTTTACTGGGAATAAAGAAATTTGGAAGATAATAGAATGTTTTCACCTATGTTGTAATGTTGACACAGTTTGGTGTAGGATGTGGAGATGCTGATGTGAAACTTAGCTCAAGTTTGCCATCTAAGACCTGAATGGGCTGTGTGTATCCACCCCTGGTTAGCCACACAACCTCGGGAAGACCTCAACCCCCTCCCGGTACAGCAGGGACGAGAACAGCACCGCCTGTTGGAAGCTTGAGGGAGACTATGGATGCGCAGTGCTTGGCAGAGGGTCTGGTCATGGAAGGTACCAGCACGTATGAGATACTATTATGATTTTGTTTTATCCGAAAGAAAGGGAATGAAAGAAGAGGGAAGGAAAAGAGAATAATCGGGAGAAATGAAGGATGAGGGGTGAGGGGAGGAGTAAGGGACATGAAGGCAGTGTGGAGCAGCCGAGGGCGGAGACGGTTTTCACCACCTCCCAGCGTCTATTGCAGATTCCACTCTCGAACATTTTGTAAGGACCCTTTACACAAGGTAATGTTTGACCCCTGCTGAGCCAGGGGCGAGGGCCTCTGAGAGAATAATTAACTTAATGTGACTCTGGTTTGTGGATGCGTTTACTCTCATGTAAGTCAACAACATCCTGGGATTGGGACACACGTTCTGGGCACTGCTGGCCAGTCCCAAAATGGGACATAAGGAAGTGATTCTTCTACTTCTTTTATTTCTGAAATCAGGTAAGACAACTTTTTTTTAATATAAGAATTGTTTTTTCTCCCACAATGTAGTAAAAATACATATGCCATGGCTTCATGTGCAATTCGCCTAATTTAATTTTCTGTTCATGAAATTCCAAGTTCAAAATCTTGTATAAGATTGAGGAGCTCTTCAAGAAGTAAGTTTAATTGTGCTGTGAAGATTTTCAGGGTGCTGGAATGAATGGGCAGATAAAATAATGGGTGATTTTTCAAATCTAAATGAGTGCACCCACATAGTGGCCAGTCTAATTGAAAAAGAGCCAATGTAGCTAACCATCCAAGAGATGGCTCAGCTCTTTGCCTGGTTCTCGGTTTGATTAATTTATATCATCTCTGTTAAAATGTCATGCTCCCCTCACTTGCAAGTTAAAACAACAAAACATCTCTTAGAACATATTCTGTACCCTCCCCAGCTCATGGTTGGGGGGGGGCAGGATTCAGCATTTCTCTCTCTGTTGTGGCCTGAGTAAGCCTTTCCATAGGTATACATTCACCTCTTATCCTGGGAGAAATCACATGCATCCATTTGCCAGATCACATATGCATATAGTGATTCAACAAACACTTAGTGCTTGTGAGTAGCCCCCACGTTTGTACACATACATCCTTACATACCTGTGTGTCAATGTGAGTGTGAGTGTGTGTCCTTTACAATTACTAGCTTCTTTAGCTTGTGGTATAGGTAGGGTTGTATATTCGTCCCCATTTTATAGACAAGGAAATACAGACTTAGGAGAATCATGTTATTTGCTCAGTGACCAAACTCCTGCATCAAGGATTTAAGCCACATTTCCCAGAAGAAATCTAGGGCTCTTCTCACTTTTCAGCTTTGTTTAAGCCTTTGAAAAGATATTCTAAACATGTCCTAGTAGTTCTTTTACTTAAAAAAAAAAAAAACAGCTTTATCGAGATATAATTAACGTAGAGAATTCACCCATTCAGGCACACAATCCAATGGATTTTAATATATTGGGAGTTGTGCAGCCACTATCAGAATAAATTTTAAAATCTTGTCATACCTGCAAGATACCACTCTCCTTAGCTGTTACCCCCAATCTGCCGCTTCTGGCAGCCACTAATCTACCTTCTGTGTTTAAATCTTTGCCATTTTGGAAATTTTATAAAAATGGAATCATAAGTTTCGCTAACAGTTCTTCATATCAATAATGAATACATACTTGAAATTCAATCTATAAATTACCAGATGAAATTTTACAAATTCAAATACATTTGCATTTAGTGGAAGCCATTCAAGGAACTATCGAAGAAAACATAGAGCAGGAGAAAATTAAACAATGAAATTTTTGTGGGAAAGAGCTGTGTGTTGGCGGTATGAATAGTCTACTTCAGCCCCTGGAAACTGGGACAGAGATCTCTGTGAACTTATTCAGTGGGCTACACCCAAAGGTGTACACTGAAAGATCAAAATTCTCTGCCACAGGATTAACATGTGTTTTACCCAACCTGGGGGCACATTCTCTCATACGCTCTTTGGAAAGGAAGGCTGTCTGTGGATGTGTCATCTTTCTGGTGTGCTGCAATGCTCGGGGCGAGGAAAAACTTTCTTTTACAGCCGTACTCAGTGAGAAGCAGGGAAACATCTTCCATTTCACAAATTACTAAGTCTTTTTTCTTACACATGCAAATATGCATGCACTTCCCATATCACAGTGAGGAAGACATTCTCACGCTGCTAATGAAATACATTTGCATCGGTAGCAATATACATCTACATTTTGCCTATAATTTAAATGTATTTTTCCACTGAAAGATTTGTTTCATGTTTTCTTGCCACCAAATAAGCCCTATCAAATCCTTTTGCCATATGAGTCCTAGAAGTGAATAAGATTTTTTAAATGGGGGAAAACATTTCAAAATTAAAAGAAAAAATTTGATTCATTTTTGGGATATTTACTAAGAACTTGAGCTGGGGAGGGGATCTCAGCAGTGACCCACTATGAAGCATAATAAGATGACACTCAGAGGTAACTTAATTGAAGGGGGAATAAATGGAAGTTTTCTCTTGTTGAATATCAGTTGTAGTCTGCTGTGCTATACTTCAAAAAAACTCTTCAGAAAGTTTAACTTAACTCACTGTAGGGCACACTTTGTGGATTTGTTTTGTGTTTTGAAGTCACACTCTGAATAGAATTTACCAAAACACAGCTCTTCTTGGAAATGAGAGTTCAAGCTGACAGAAGATGCAGGGTGAAGACATAGATATGGACCTAAAGTATCTATTTCTCTGTGATCTTTTGATACATCTTGCAAGTGCTTTTAGCCAACTCCTGGTCAATAATCCATTTTTCCAGCCTGGAGTGTCTTACATTGAGGAAGGACAAAGTTGCAGAGATGGGAAGCAGGTGAACTTTGGCTGGGGACTTTGGAAGAGAGTGCATTCCCCTCCCTGTCCTGCCCCTTGTGCTCTGTGTACTCTCAGGAGGTCAGGACAGGCCTTTCTGAGAATGAGAATCTGTTCATCTGCCTTCCTACTCTATACTTGTTATCAGCATGCAAAGTAATGCACTCTGCTCTGTGTCATCTTTCAGAACCTCCCCTGACTCCATGTTCCCCAGAGGGCTCCCTGCCTTCAGAGCGAGGATTGTCTCCTGCCACTCCCCTAGTCACCTTTTAACCCACTCCCTCTGCCTGCAGCCCCCACCACACCCCTGAAAGTGGTCAAGGTTGTCCTGTTGTCTAATTTCATGGATCTTGGCTATCTTCATTTTGTAAGCCTCTTCTGGCCCCTCACCCTGTGAAAATCACTGGCATTCTGTGCCAAGGATGGAGCTAGCATCTCCAGGCTTAGAAGATAGCTGCTGAAGCTTGGCTAGGTGTTCTTAGGAGCCTCGGGACAGGGGACATTCTGTAGCCTTGCGGTGGGAGCACAGCTGAGCCCCGCTTGGCCACCCTCTGCCGCCTCCAGGCAGAAGGCAGCTTTGAGACAGATTCCTTGCCTCAGATCTGATCTCAAAGAAACATCAAGACCAGTAATTGTCCCAGGTTCTGCTTTTTCACAATTCCCTCTGAAATCCAGATGCCTGTCAGCACCTTGGAAAAACTGATTTCTCCCCAGTTAGGAGTGGTGTGTCACTGTAGTAAGCCCAGTATAGAAATGGCCTTCATAGTAGGGAGCTTCCTACCCTCCAGTGTTTCATCCAGTTTTTGCCCGAGGTGGCAATATAATTTAGTTCAGTTCTTATTTATTTCCAGCGTCATCTATGCACCAAAACTTTTGTATCTCAAGGAGGTTAAAGCGACAGTGTTAAACCAAAGCACGTATTGTAAGAAATCAAACAATGGCCTCCACATTCCACTTCTACCCAGGGATGAACAAATCAACATCAATCTTCATGGCACCGTTGCCACTGATGGTGCCTTACTTTTCTCTCACGACATGCCAATCAACAGCAAACATAAAATTTGTTTTTATTTAAGGGTCTATACCTGTTAATATGGTAACTCAGTAATGGTTCCATAGTTCTAACCTGTTTATCGATCTAGTTAATCTTTTAATATCTTACAATCTGCTAATGAACCGGTTTTTCTTTGTTTTATAATTTCAACTCGTAGAGTCAGGGATACATGTGCAGGTTTGTTACATGACTAAATTGTGTGACACTGAGCTTTGGGGTACAAATGACTCCATCAGCCAGGTAGTGAGCTAAATACTAAACAGGTATTTTTCCAGCCCTTGCCTCCCTCCCTCTTTCCCTTCTCTGGGAGTCCCCAGTGCCTTTTGTTGCCATCTTTATGTCCACATGTCAGACTATGTGTTCTTAACTAAACATCTGGACTCACAGCTGCCCATTCTACTTCCAGGAAACAGCAAGTTTTATTCAGTTAATGCTAACCGAAGAGACTAAAAGGAAGTCATGGCAATTAGACATTGGCGTTGATTAACTGACCATTTGTTCCACTTGGGCCTCCCACCTCTAGGTCAAGGAGAGCCTCTGGAGGACTATGTGAACACCCAGGGGGCTTCGCTGTTCAGTTTCACTAAGAAAAAGCTGGAGGCAGGAAGCGTAAAGGAATGTGCGGCAAAATGTGAGGAAGAGAGAGAATTCACCTGCAGGTATTTCCATTGTTGTTGCACCTACCCAGAAATCTGTCATTTGGATGGCAAGTCATTTACTCACAAATTTATTAACAATTTAAGAGAAGGGAGAAATTTATGGAATCAGCATTTGGAACTATATTTGCTCACAGTATCTGAAGCCGTACTAATGGCTTCTCGTTAAGGTTTACTGGAATCTCTGCTAGAAAAATACCCTAAAAGGAAGTTATTTGTTTTTACACCGACATAAACATTAGCAGCTATTGTTCTGAGCTCTGATTTTTAACATCATGATCAGTAAATGTTTGTTGAGGATCATGTCCCAGATAGATCCGAGCAATGACTTACAGCTACAAGAACCCAGTGCCCGCCCTTTAGTATTTAAGGTGTAGTCGAGGAAACTGGATATAATGTTTGAAAAAAAGACAGCTCAAGTGAGTTACTGCGAAGTGGCATAATCAATGCATGATCCACTCAGATCCAGAGGAAAGAACAGTCCCTAAGGTTGAGGCAGCTAGAGAAGGCTCAGGCAGGAGGTGGGAGGTGGGGACTGAGCTGGGTTTGGAGTTGAGAGAGCTCTTGACAAGCACCAGGCAGGAGGGGGAAGATGCAGCCCTGAACCCCCTTGATGGGGACCATTAAGAGATCAAGTTGGCTAAAGCAAAGGCTTCACGTAGGTGATGGGCCTGGGACGATAGCTCTGGATGCCAAACTGAGCACCCACAGCAGGACCACGTGGATGGGGAAGGGAGGGATCAGGGGCCAGGTGAAAGGTGGAGCAGAGGTTCATGGGAAGTGATCAGAGTCGAGAGGTCATGGAGGCAGACCATCTTGGACAACGGGTTCAAGGCAAACAGAGTAGCTTCTTTCCAACCCAAAGACAATTAAGAAAACCAGTGAAGAAGAAGTAAAGCAGTTGAAATAGAAAGAAAGAGAAAATGAGGGAAAGATGACAGGGGCGTGAGAGAACGAGAGTTACTGCCACGTGGGTGTCTTTGGTTCAGCACTTCATCGATGCCATGCCCAAATAGCTGACAGGCAGCACTTCTGAGCTCCCTGGTCCATCAAGAGATGCAATGATCTTTAGCATGTCTCACTTATTGATAAACATTTCCTTTCTTTAAATAAAGAAAAATACTTATTTGATTTCCTGATTTCTTCTGCAGGTCATTTCAATATCACAGTAAAGAGCAACAATGTGTGATAATGGCTGAAAACAGCAAGTCTTCCACAATCATTAGGCTGAGAGATGTCGTTTTATTTGAAAAGAAAAGCAAGTACATTTTCTTCTTCCTCCTCCTCCCGTCCTCCCCATCCTCCCACTCTTCCTCCTTCTCTATTCTATCTTTACTTTATGAGACCAGAGGAGGAAGGCACTATGGTGTAGTGGAATTGAATTCTGAGTTAGGACAGGATTTGATTGCTGACTAAGTGTGTCAGCTTGAGTATATTATTTCACCTCGTGGGTTTAATTTTTTTTGTTGGTCAAAAAAATGAAAGAATTGGATTTGCAGCATCACATCTACCTCTATGACCCTGAAAGTAAGATGTTTAAAATAATATTTTATATTTAACAAGGAGATGGGAAGTCTACGCATTCCTTTTGATCTTGGCTTCTTATTCTACAGGGTGACCATGGTTGTTGGGCCCTAGCTTCTGGACAAAGCCTTGTAAAATAGAAATACTGAGGTGTTTTAATCCTCAGAAACATTTGGATCGGGACAAAAATCTTATTTTCATTCTTAAATTTTTCACATTTTGGGGGACATAATCTATACTTTCCTCAGGTTTCTGAAATGTTGTCTTCTAAAACTGTGCAAAAGTTACAGCTCCTTTTCTATAGTTTCTTTCAAAACGTGGGTCAATAGTCCCATTGTTTAGAATAAGACACAGACAGGATTTCAATGGAAATTGCATGTCTTTTTAGATGTGCAAATGTTTCATTAAGGGTATGAAGATTCAAAGGGATATGTATGACACGTTAAAAACTGTTTCCTTTGCTATGTCGGTGGCTAGGTATTAAGACTGTTAATAATAGCAATATAGCTCCCAAAATATTCTGCATCCCAGGTGTTAAAGCAGACTGGAAACACCAAAGTTCTTGTATTCTTCAGGATGATTTTCAATGTTGTGTCTGGTATCACTGCAAAACTCTAAGTGGCAATTTAAACAGTATTTATTTGGGTCGGAATTATTTCTGTGCGTTGACTCTTCGTGGGTTTCATTAGCTGTATGCATTGTACTTTCTTCCTTACCACTGCTCCTCTCTAATTCTTGAGATTAAAGTACAGATTAAATCTAAACTTTACCTGTTGAAGTTACTAGTTCTTGCAAGTAGTAAGCAAAGGGTAAACTATATAGGATCACCTAGTTGTAGCAGATTTAAAAAAAAAAAACAGCCTGGATTCTCTCTACAAAATGCTAACATTTAGATATGTCATTTGTAAATTGTTAACCAGGGGAAACATGGGAATGACTGTTAGGCTGAGTTTGAAGTCTGAAGTTTGAAAGCTTAGTCGGCTTGTTTTCAAGGTGACAGAAGGGAGCAAAAGGTTATATAAACTCTGGTGGGTACATACAAACAGAAGAGAAGAGAAAAGTCAAAAGTCAGCCATTTTTTGGTCTTTGTTTCTTTGCTGTGGGATATTGACCCACTCTAACTTACCTGCCAGGGTTTTGCTGGGAACAGTCAGTGTTAGATCACATTTACTTCCACCACTTACCACCAGCCACACTGCCATCACCCGGTCCAAGACCCTGTCACCACTGGTTGGGGCTACTTGTAGCTGTACACATGATCTGTAAGAAATGTACCTTCCCTGCTTGAAGCCCTTCCTAGTGCCCTTAAAATAAGACCCAAATACTTCCCAAATGTGCTAGGGCCCAGAATTATGTAAGTAACCCCAGGCTGCTGTTTGCTTGGCTTGCTCAACTTTTCTACACTGGCCTTACCTCTGTTCCTTCACCACTCCAAGCACATGCCCTCCTGCCTGGGACGTCTTCAACTTTGTCCTGCTGTGCCAGCTCCTTCTTATCTCCTAGGTCTCAGCTCAATCACCACCTCCTTTGCAAATCTTCCCTGACCTCTAGACCTCCCTTTCACAAAGCACTTTGAGTTTACACTTTTGATGTGTGTCTTATGTCTACTGTAATACTATGTCCCAATGATGACGTACCTTTAATCATAGTACATAGTACTGGGCTCCCAAAGAAGACGTACTTGCAATCATAATGCATAGTATTGGGTTAAAAGCATTCGTTTCCTGTAGGTATGTTAGGACTACTTTCCCATGTGATTGATCAATGAATTCAAAAAGGACTAAAGTGGGTAAACATAAATGATTAGTATACCGCAAACATTTTATATTTTCATTGAAAACACAAGTGTACATGACACCTTTTTATGTAGACAGAGGCTTTTTTTTCCTTGAATATGGGGTCACCAGTAGGAGGTCTCTAGTGCATTTCCTGCATAAACTATGCTTTAGTGCAACGTCTACAATTATCACTTTCCTTATCTTTGAAATGGACCGTATCTCCACATTTACTAATCAAGCTGAATGTGCAATACCTTTAGATTCTTATGATTTCCTCCTCAAACTTTATAGTCAACTATATGAGTGGATTGCCCTCCATGGATTTGATAGCAATTTTTTAAATGATTCATGTTTCAACTCCTTAAAAACATTCAATTTAGTTAAAAACAAAACAAAAAAGAGCTTTGTTTCTTTCCACATTCATTTCTCAGTTTCGATCATCTTTAATTAAATATAACTGTAAGAAAGCTGGAAAATGCAAAGAAATGACTCGTGGTAAACACACAACCCACATGGGGGGAACAGACGCTGGGTGGGGGGGACACACCAGCAAAGCACCTGCAGCTGCATGTGGACCCAGGTGAGCATCAGACTGTTTTAAAGGCAGTAGAGGGCCCTTTTGGTTGAGTGGAGGCTGGTTGAGAACTTTTACTGCCAACATTTACAGTAAACCATGGTTTTATAGCCCTGTTTGGCACTTTTGCGTATCACTGGGAGCCTGAAGAAATAGAAGTGGGTTAGATCTCTTTCAGCCTTTGAAAAGCCTGTTGTCTCCCCATCCAAAAATCCCTTTCCCCATTCTCTCACTCTGTCTCATCATGCTATGTGTTTTCTCTGTAACGTGTACCATTATGAAGTGATCTCACTCCATACTGTGCTTCCTTGAAGATTTCCTGTGACCCCACTGCCTGATTCCACTAGAATGTGAGCTGCATGGCAGCCAAGCCTCTGGCTGCACTGTGCCCCATGGGCCCCCCAGCACCCTGGTGGGGCTTGATACACAGAGGGCTCATAAGTAGCATTTGAATACATGAAGCAAAGTACAGAATGGCTCAGTTTATTGCAGCCCTCTTTCAGATGCAAAAGATGATCTTTTAGAAAGCAGAAGCGGGGTCTGGTGCACAAGGTCTTTCTCTCAATGTGACTGTGCTGTGCAGACCTTCTGTGGTTTCTTGGTGTGAAAGACTTTGACCACTGTGTGGCTTTCCCTTCAGTGTATCTTTCAGAGTGCAAGACTGGGAATGGAAGGAACTACAGAGGGACAACGTCCAAAACAAAAAACGGCGTCACCTGTCAAAAATGGAGTTCTACTTTTCCCCACAAACCTAAGTAAGACTTTCCCTTTCATCTTTGTGTTCACCTATTGTACAGTTGTCCTGCTGTGTCTGTGGGGGACTGGTGCCAGGACCCTGTGGCTACCAAAATCCATGCTTCCCAAGTCCCACACATAAAATGGTATAGTGTTTGCATATAACCTACATACATTCTCTCATATAATGTAAATGCTACGTAATCATTGTTATACCATATTTTTATTTGTATTATGTTTTATTTTCATATTGTTATTCTCTATCATCTTTTTCAAGTCGTTTCCATCCACAGTTGGTTGAATTTGTGGATGTGGAACCCATGGATACAGAAGGCCAACTGTATGTAGGACGATTTCATTATTTTTCATTCAAACCAGAATATGTGCATAAACAGAACCTTTTTGATGTTAATGTTCAATTATTTATAGCACCATAGTAGAATATGGTTGCTTTCTATTTTTTCTTGGGTATGGAGGTATCTTGAAGACCTAGAACATAGAAACATGTCTAGTTAAAAAAAAAAAATCAATGAAACCAAGAATTTGAGGCCAAATCTGAGAAAAACACAAAGATAACTATGTTTGGGACATACCAAATTAGAGCTCTTATCACATGTTCGACTCAAATTGTGGAGCAAAAAAGTAAATAAAATACAAAAATGAAAATGGAGATACATGAAACCCAAATCTCGCAACTTGCCTGTTATTTATTTTAGTGTCTTTTTTGTACTTTTCCCAGTTTGGTGTTAGATGGCATTAAGTTCTCAGTAGTGATGCTCATCAAACAGTGCTCACCTTTATCCATTCCCCCAACACTCAACAAATTGACTTGGCTACATCCCTGTGAAATGAGCAGATTGAATATTCCCTGTGAGATAATGAAAACTGATTCAACCAAATGGCGAACTCAGAGACAGTCAGGTGCCATGGAGACACACTGGGCCATTTTTACAGGTGGTCTAGGTTCATCTTTATGAGGGAACTGAGGTCCTGAGAGGGTGGGGATTACCCCAAACAGGTTCACAGAAGAACCAGAAATAAAACCTGCCTTTCTAGACTTTAAGTCTTGTGATTTTCATCTAAATGGTTGTCTCTATACAGCAACTCATCTCTAGAATTGAAAAGGAGCTTAACTCCCTCCTCCGCCCCCATTAATTCAGGCTGCATTTCAGAAAAAAAGAGGACTTTGGAATCAGTCAAATCAACTTGGAATTCCTGATCTGCTTCTTAGTAGTTATTCACACTTAAGCGAGTTTTGTTTCGTTTTATGTTGCCACTCAGTCTTCTCATCTGTAAAATAGGATAATAACACTTTCCTCGCAGGGGTTTTTTATTGGGACTAAAAAAGAAAATGCATAGAAAGATTTTAGTTGAATTCCTGGCACATAGTTCACATGGACAGAATGTTATTAACTACAGGGATTTTTACAGAGAAACGGTAACTGACAGAAGAAGGTGTCTGGAATGAATTAGGACCTTGGCAGGCTTTTGAGGCCTTTATATTTCTCTTGACTGTGAATAAAAATACTTTGGCTCTCCGTCTAAGACTCGGCTGTCAATATAGCAGCAATGGTAATATTACCTTCTGTGCCAGAAGCAGCCAATCAATAGAGAAATTAAAAATCTGGCCACACAAATGCTGCAGCACCCTGCTGAAATGCATTCGCATGACAACTTCAATCTCGGATGGGAAACGAGAGCATCTCCTGCTGCCTTGCTGGTAGCATACTGATTTTTAGAATATAGTCTAAGTGCTTCTTTCCCATCCTCTCCAGATACTCACCTGATACACACCCCTCAGAGGGACTGGAGGAGAACTACTGCAGGAACCCAGACAACGATGAGAAGGGGCCCTGGTGCTACACCACTGATTCAGAACAGAGATACGACTACTGCGACATTCCCGAGTGTGAAGGTCAGGAGGGGCTCTAGAAAGCGCTTTCATTTCTGCCCTTCACCTATAAAATAATTTGTGTAAAGCCCCTTCCTACAGGGAGATTACTAATAATTGAGTAATGTATTCGCCTCTCAGAAAGGAGCAAAACTTTGCTCAGACCCACAGAATTGACCTAAATTTTTTGTTTGTTTGTTTTTGAGATGAAGTTTTGCTCTTGTTGCCCAGGCTGGAGTGCAATGGCATGATCTCGGCTCACTGCAACCTCTGCCTTATGGGTTCAAGCGATTCTCCTGCCTCAGCCTCCTGAATAGCTAGGGTTACAGGCATGCACCACCACTCCCAGCTAATTTTGTACTTTTAGTAGAGACGGGGTTTCTCCATGTTGGTCAGGCTGGTCTCAAACTCCTGACCTCAGGTGATTTGCCCACTTTGGCCTCCCAAAGTGCTGGCATCAAAGGCATGAACCACTGCACCCAGCTGACCTGAATTATTTTATTAAAATATTACATCAACATGTGTAGACATAAAACTACATCTAAACTCTAAATACAAATTTCTTATGAGTAAACTTTTACACAGTGTAAAACCCAAGACAGATTTGCAATTAAGTAGTTAAAATAAAACAACAAAATCAATAAAAATCAAATAAACAATATACATTTAATGTAGACTTTGCTGTTTCGCTGAAGCTAAGCAAGAAAGCAATTTTTAAATCAGCAAATCATTGTTTTAATGGACTGACCAATTTAATAGTGCACCTCAAAGGTCAATGCTAAAAAATAAAAAAACATTGTACTGAAAAAACTGTCATCATTTTGTATTTCTGGCTACATTTGTTGGTGCAAAAGGGAATGAATAAAGGTGAGACTCGTGTGACAGTGTGGATATGGTACTGCGTGATCATTCAGTTCTCCCTTCACGTCCACCTATTAGAATCATGGGGATCCTTTATTTGTATACCATGTTATACGTATTTGCCCTTAAGTGCCATCAATGCCTCACTTTTATATTTAGTCTGCCCGTTTTCCTTAGTACCCCAAAAGAATGTAAGTCACATATTACTCTGCGTTACCGTGTGACTTCAATAATTCTGAATCAAAGTTTAAGTTTGTGAATAATTTTGCAAAAAAGAGAGCCCGTCATGCTTCTCGACTATATAAAAAGGGAAGTGCTGTCACTTCAGGTGAATATTGTTCTCCATGAGACCATGAGCACAGACGAAAACTCAAGACTAAAACCCTGAGACGGTGCAGTCAGTGGAATGATCAGAATAATTTCACACAAAGTTTTAAAGATCATTATTGTAATGAAGATGGCGAATATTGAAAAGTCCTAAGGGAGAACTTACAGACTTCCGAGAATAGATGCACCCCTGCCTCCCTGCCGGCCTGCACATCCTGATTTAAGGACATGGCATCAGGGAAATTCTGAATTTGGTCATGACTAAAATAATTGACTGGATATTGACTAAAATTTGTGAATGTTACCATTTAAAAGGAAAATGACATTTGGATTGTGTTAGAAAATCCTGAGTCCTTATTGCCAATTTTATGGCCAAGTGCCTGTTGTGAATTACATCTGAACGGGGCCAAGTTGCACTTAAGGGAGAGGGATTCTGGTTTTAACTCTCTGTTTTGCTTCGTCCATTTCAGTTTTTTTCTTCTTCTCTGTCCTTCCTTCCCAACCTGTCCAGATGAATGTATGCATTGCAGTGGAGAAAATTATGATGGAAAAATTTCCAAGACCATGTCTGGACTGGAATGCCAGGCCTGGGACTCTCAGACCCCACATGCCCATGGATACATTCCCTCCAAGTAAGTCTCACTGGAAAAAAACACTCCATGTTTAAGGCTCTGCAGCTCTATCGGACATTTGCTGTTATTTAGATATTTTAGCATTCCTTAAGATGTTTTTAATTTCAAAGCTAACGTCCTCCCACAATATTTCAAGTGAATACGCATTCTTTCTGCTCAAAACGTGGTCCGTGGGCCAGCAGCACAGATGTTTTCTGAGAGTTTGTTAGAAATACAAAATGTCACACCCTCTGAATCCGATTTGCTTAATAACCAGATCCTCAGCTGATGGGCCTACACATTCAAACACTAATGTGGGTGTGAATACATTAACATCTGTCTTGAGAAATACACACACACATTGCTGGTGTATTTTCCAAATAGTTTTCTTTTCGCTTCACTCTCTTTCCTTTCCCTTTGTACCAATGAGATTCAAGGCTCCTAACTTTTGACCTATGAGCAAACATCATGGATTTGTGAATCCCTGATGTTTTATGTGTATTTACATCAGTACATTTTTCTGGAATGAGGATTCATAACTTCCATCAGATTCTCTAAGGGGATCATGAATTTAAAATGAGAATAAGGTTCTTGCTCTAGAAAGTCATGATGGTTCCAGGTTTTTTTACACACATATATATAATTACACTTTATACATATATATATATATAATACTGCACATATACATATATATATATATATAACCGCACTTTAGGTTCTGGGGAACATGTGAAGAACATGCAGGATTGTTGCATAGATACATACATGGCAATGTAGTTTGTTGCCTCCATCCCCCCGTCACCTATATCTGGCATTTCTCCCCATGTTATCCCTCCCCAACCTCCCTACCCGCCACTGTCCCTCTCTTATTCCCCCCCAACAGACCCCAGTGTGTGATGCTCCCCTTCCTGTGTCCATATGTTCTCATTGTTCAATACCCCTGTATGAGAGAGAACATATGGTGTTTGATTTTCTGTTCTTATGTCAGTTTGCTGAGAATGATGGTTTCCAGATTCATCCATGTCCCTACAAAGGACACAAACTCATCATTTTTTATAGATGCATAGTATTCCATGGTGTATATGTGCCACATTTTCCTTGCCCAGTCTATCATTGATAGTTGGTTCCAGGTCTTTGCTATTGTAAACAGTGCCACAATGAACATATGTGTGCATGTGTCTTTATAATAGAATGACTTCTAATCCTTTGGATATATACTCAGTAATGGGATTGCTGGGTCAGATGGAATTTCTATTTCTAAGTCTTTGAGGAATTGCCACACTATCTTCCACAATGATTGAACTAATTTACCCTCCCACCAACAGTGTAAAAGTGTTCCTATTTCTCCACATCCTCTCCAGCATCTGTTGTCTCCAGATTTTTTAATGATCACCATTCTAACTGGCATGAGATGGTATCTCAATGTGGTTTTGATTTGCACTTCTCTAATGACAAGTGATGATGAGCATTTTTTTCATGTTTGTTGGCTGTGTAAATGTCTTCTTTTGAAACCCATTTTTGAATGGGTTTGTTTGTTTTTTTCTTGTTGTAAATCTGTTTCAGTTCTTCGTAGATCCTGGATATTAGCCCTTTGTCAGATGGGTAGATTGCAAAAATTCTTTCCCATTCTATTAGTTACCAGTTCACTCTAATGATTGTTTCTTTTGCTGTACAGAAGCTCTGGAGTTTAATTAGATCCCATTTGTCTATTTTGGCTTTTGTTGCCAATGCTTTTGGTGTTTTAGTCGTGAAGTCCTTGCCTATTCCTATGTCCTGAATGGTATTGCCTAGGTTTTCTTCTAGAGTTTTTATGGTGTTAGGTCTTATGTTTAAGTCTTTAATCCATCTAGAGTTAAGTTTAGTGTAAGGTGTCAGGAAGGGGTCCAGTTTCTGCTTTCTGCACATAGCTAGCTAGCCAGTTTTGCCAACACCATTTGTTAAACAGAGAATCCTTTCCCCATTGCTTGTTTTTGTCAGATTTGTCAAAGATCAGATGGCTGTAGTTGAGTGGCATTGCCTCCAAGGCCTCTTTTCTGTTCCATTGGTCTATATCTCTATTTTGGTACCAATACCGTGCTGTTTTGATTACTGTAGGCTTGTAGTATAGTTTGAAGTCAGGTAGCGTGATGCCTCCGGTCTTGGTCTTTTGGCTTAGAATTGACTTGGTTATGCTGGCTCTCTTTTGAATCCATATGAAGTTTAAGGTGGTTTTTTCCAGTTCTGTGAAGAGGGTCATAGGTAGCTTGATAGGGATAGCATTGAGTCTATAAACTACTTTGGACAGTCTGGCCATTTTCACAATATCAGTTATCACCATTCTAACTGTCATGAGATGGTGTCTCAATGTGGTTTTGATTTGCATTTATCTAATGACCAGTGATGATGAGCATTTTTTCAGGTTCGTTGGCCTCATAAATATCTTCTTTTGAAAAATGTCTGTTCATATCCTTTGCCCACTTTTGAACAGGTTTTGTTTTCTTGTAAATTCATTTTAGTTTTTGTAGATTCTGGATATTAACGCTTTGTCAGATGGGTAGATGGCAAAAATTTTTTCCAATTCTGTTGGTTGCCAGTTCACTCTAATAATTGTTTCTTTCGCTGTGCGGAAGTTCTTAAGTTTAATTAGATTCCATTTGTCTATTTTGGCTTTTGTTGCCATTGCTTTTGGTGTTTTAGTCATGAAGTCCTTGCCTATTCCTATGTCCTGAATGGTATTGCCTAGGTTTTCTTCTAGGGTTTTTATGGTGTTAGGGCTTACGTTTAAATCTTTATTCCATCTGGAGTTAGAATAAGGTTTTGTAGCATTCTTTTTCACATTAATTGTGCTGGAAAACACCTCCGATTCTATAGGCACTTCTGGTCTTCCTCTTCATTCTGTGATGACTACAGGACCATACCAGGGCTTTTAAGAATGCAGAAGTGAGGCTGGGACACAGATTCCACTTTCCCTTCCCATTCAGAACAGCTAGCTTAAAACACAGCAGCTGCCATTTTTCTTCAAAGTGGAAATACAGTAAAGGCCTAAGGGTCCAAAGCTGAGTAAAGTCACTTCCAAGAAACCGGAAAGAGAAGAGGATTGCTTAAGCCACTGCTGGCTCTTCTTTCCATCCTGGTAAACATTTACAGTCTCAGAGAGGGGAATGAATAAATGCAGAGGGCCACCAGATGCGGAGTGCATCCAACAGCCCTAGCCACTGGGGCCCACTGAGGAAGGATCCAGCACATACTGCATGGTGAGACCCTTGTAGGAGCACAGCTTCTCTTCCATGTTTCTCTAAGCTTCAAGGCTGGTGGGAGCAGAGCCTGGTAGACCAGAAGGACTGTTCCTTTAAGCTATGAAGATGCCCAGTTCTTGGCTCCATTGGGTACTAGATGAGTACTTTAGGCAGAAGTGCTTTGCATTTTAAAGATTGCTATTATTTGTGGTTGAATAACTGGAATTGGCTTATATCAATTTTTCCAGATGGCCAAAATGATAAGGTACTGATTCTGTTGAGTGATTTTTACACATTTAAAATGTCAGAAAAACAGTGCCTGGCAGCTGGGTGTGGTGGCACAAGCCTGTAAGCCCTAGTTACATGAGGGGCTGAAGCAAGAGGATTGCTTGAGTGAGTTCAAGGAGTTCAAGACAAGCCTGGGCAATAAGTGGGACCCTAAAAACAAAGCAAGAAAAGAAAGTCCTTGGAATACTGAGCCAACCTTGTTTCCTAGTTGCCATCTCTGAATACAGCCTTCATCCAATTACCTCCTCCATGCCCGACAGTGCCTAGCACACAGCAGGTGCTCCATGTTTACTCACTTGAAAAAGAGTCTCATCCATGAACGTAAATGTTCAGTGCTACTGAAATCTTTCTTGTCCATTCAGATTTCCAAGCAAGAACTTGAAGAAAAATTACTGTCGTAACCCGGATGGGGAGCCCCGGCCTTGGTGTTTCACCACCAACCCCAACAAACGCTGGGAACTCTGCGACATCCCCCGCTGCAGTGAGTACGAAGCACACCCAGATTCCAGGATTCTGACTTGCCCTCTTCTTGAACTCAAAAGAAAACATGTATCAGTGCCTGAGTGCAGCCCCTGAAAAGTGACCTACAAGTCTTAGGGGATGTTATTTGTCTTTATTTTATTGCTAGTTTAAAACAGTTATGGTTATTAGTTACTGTAGGTAATTGATCAGAGCGTCCATTTGTTATGTTTTTCTTTCTTTTCAACAGAAACTTTTGCCCTTAGGAGTTCAGTGAAATGTGGGCTTTGGGTATTGTTTGTCCTATTCTACTTTTCTCCATGCTCTAGGGAAATCAGACCCATGCTCTCTGGCAAATGGATTTCATTTTCAACCAGAGTTCTTTCTAATAGTTGCTTTGTAAATAAAGAGTGTCTTTGTTTACCATGTTCAGATCTGCGGATGCCCAGCTTTTCCAGCTTGGGGAGCAGAGGGTGAGAGGGTGGGGGTGGGAAAGAGTTCAGGAGGAGAAGATGAAATGGCAGACCTGGTAACAATGATGTGGAGACAACAGTTTTATCCTATTTTCCTCTCTGAGAATTTGAAAGAAAGGATTACACACTAAGACAAAGACAGGCGTGAAAAGTCTCAAAGGATTCAGTGAGGGTTGGCCTCCCCTCCTTTCCTCTGACACATGTTCTTCGCGAGTGGAAGTTCCTCAGGCATTCTCCCTTTTTATGAATATCAATTTCTCTCTTTTTTTCAGTTTCTCTTTTTGTCATCTTCTTTTTTTCCTCAAGAACGTCTTGATTTCTGGGTGCCCACACTTTTCGTTGGAGATGTTTTTTGACTTCTTCCCTTGGACTCTTTCCCTGTGGTTTGACTTTATGGAATGTTGGGTGTCATCCACTTAGGTCTACTCAGTGAATGATTTATTCTTCAGGAAAGAGAGTGGACCATTGGCATATGTGAACATTTGGGGTGGGAGGTAACATATATTGATACTTACCAGGTATGATGAACTGAGCAAAGAGAACATAGAAAGAAGCATCTACCCAAGGGTCTTTCCCTGGAAGAGTTCTTATGAAAGGTCTCACAGGCATACATACTACTAAGTTGATTTCTTCTGAAAACATGAAACAATTTTCAAGTGCCAAATTCCAAAAGCAGCTGAGCAGAAGGCAAGACAGACCAGAGCCCCCTGCAGCCATCCCCCTTAACATCCATCTGTGCATTCTCTATTTTAAAATTATTCATTGTAATTTATTTTTTCCATTCAAGCAACACCTCCACCATTGTCTGGTCCTACCTACCAATGTCTGAAGGGAACAGGTGAAAACTATCGTGGGAATGTGGCTGTTACCGTGTCGGGACACACCTGTCAGCGCTGGAGTGCACAGACCCCTCACAAGCACAACAAGACACCAGAAAACTTTCCCTGCAAGTAAGCCCCTCGAGTCTCATTCTGCTGCTATGGGGAATGTGAAATCCCCTTGACTTTGCCTTAGTTTTAGTTACTGTAGGAAGCCAGGGTAAAGTATCCTGGAAGAAAAACTGGTCTAATCATAAGTGAAAGAGATGAACTTTAGCACGTTTTTCCTGTAACAGTTGTTCTCAAAGTGTGGTTCCCCAGACTTTTTTTCTTTTTGGAAAGCTAAACTCAAAATCACTCTTTTTCAGAAATTTGGATGAAAACTACTGCCGCAACCCCGATGGAGAAAAGGCCCCATGGTGCTATACAACGAACAGCCAAGAGCGGTGGGAGTACTGTAACATACCGTCCTGTGAGTCCTCCCCAGTGTCTACAGAACAGCTGGATGCCTCAGGTAAGCAAGGGTACAGGAGCTTACTGAGGGCCCAAGTGCTCTCCTTCTTTTTGTACACCAGTGGCATCACCACAAGAGACAGTATCTTTGTCAGTTTAATGTTGTTGTGGTCAGAGTGTGCCCTGTATGATTTCAGTTATTTTAGATTTGTTGAGGTTTATTTTATGGTTCAGGATATAATCATTTTGGTGAATGTTTCTGTGCTCTTGAAAAGAATGTGTCTTCTGCAGTTGTTGGGTGGGTGTTCCTCAAGGTCATTGAGGGGAGGTTGGTTGGTGGTGCTCTTCGGTATGCTTACTGATCGTCGGTCTCCTCCCTTATTGACTTCTGAGGAAGAATGGTGATGTGTCCAACTTTAACTGTAGATTAGTCTATTTCACTTTTAGATCGTAACTCTGTTTTGTGTATTTTGAAGCTCTGTCGTTAGGCACAGATGTATTTAGATTGTTGTATCTTCTTGATGAAAGGTCCCCTTTATCATTATGTAATGTTTCTTCTAATCTCTGGGAATATTCCTTCTTCACAAGTTCTGAAGTCTATTTGTGGTGATAGAAATACAGTCTCACCGCTCTATTTTCACTAGTATTTGTATGATCTATGTTTTTCTCAGCTTTTAAATTGAGATGTTCAGACCATTTGCATTAGCGCAATTGTTAATAGGGTTGAATTTACATCTACCATCAAGTTAGTTATTTCTCTTTGTCACATTTAAACTTTGTTTCTTTTTTCATCTTTTTCTGCCTTCATTTAGATTAGCTCCACTACTTACTTATTCAATTAATTTTTAATGGTTTTAGTATTTTCCACAATGTTTAGAATATACATTTTTTACTTTTCACATTTCACCTTCAAGTGATCTAATTCTACTTGACATATAAAAACCTTACATCATTTCACTTCTGCTTCTGCCCTCCCAAAATGCTATACTATTACTCCTTGTAAGAGAAGCTTACGTCTACCATGTCATAGATCTCACAACACATTGACACTACTTTTCCCCTGAATAGTCAGTCGTGTTTTAAAGTGATTTTACATAAAACTGTTTTAAATATTTTCCTTCTCTCTTTATTTCACTACTTCTGGTGCTCCTCGTCTTTTGGGGTGGATCTCCATTTCCATCTGGTGTCAGATTCTTTCTGTGAAAAACAGCCTTTAGCATTTTTTGCAGCACGGGTCTGCTGCTGCTGAAGTCTTTCAGATTTTGAGTGTCTGAAAAAGTATTTTGGCTTCAGTTTTTAACAGTGATTTTGCTGAATAAAGATACTGGAAGGAGAGTTTCATTCCATCAGCACTTTAATGATGATGTTCAATCATCTTCTGTTTCAATCAGTTTCTGACTAGAACTCTGATTTTTGTTCCTGTGTTTTCAATAGGTCATTTTTCTCTTGATTGCCTTTAAGATTTTCTCATCTTTGTTTTTCAACAGTTTGACTATGATGTGTTTCCTATTAATTTTTTGTGTTTCATCTATTTGAGGTATTCTGAGCTCCTGGATTTGTAGATTGTTGATTTTTTTTTTTTTTTTTTTTTTTAGTCAGCGTCTTGCTCTGTTATCCAGGCTGGAGTGCAGTGGTACAATCTCAGCTCACTGCAACCTCTGCCTCCCAGGTTCAAGGGATTCTCCTGCTTCAGTCTCCCAAGTAGCTGGGACCACAAGGGTGTGCCACCAGGCCCAGCTAATTTTTGTATTTTTTGTAGAGATAGTGTTTCGCCATGTTGACCAGGCTGATCTCGAACTTCTGACCTCAGACGATCCATTGCCTCAGCCTCCCAAAGTGTGAGCAATTGTGCCCAGCCTAGATTGTTGATTTTCATTGTCCTTGTAAAATTCATAGCTTTTATCTGTTCAAATGTTTGTTTGTTTTCAGGTTTCCCTCTCTGTATTTTCCTTAAGTACCCACATGTTAGAACATTCATGTTTTTTCATAATTCTTGTAAGCTTGTTCTTTTTTTCTCAATAACTCTCTTTTTTTTCTTTGTGTGTTGGATTGGATAAGTTCTAGTAACCCATTTCTAAGTTTCTGGATTATTTCATCAGTTGTGTCTAGCCGTCTCCTCAGCCCATTGAGAGAATTCTTCGTCTCTGATATTATGAATTTTTTAGCATTTTTATTTTACTCTTTTCTATAGTTCCATCTCTTTGCTGAAATTCTTCACCTATCCATGCATATTATCCACCTTTACCACAAGATCCTTTAACATATTAACTTAGGTATCACACAATCCCAATCTGATCGTTTCCAGATGCATCTTCTCTGAGTCTGGCTCTCTGGATTGCTTTATTAGTCAACAGCGGCTTTTTTTTCCCCTTGGGTTTTTGGTGTGTCTTGTAATTCTTTAATCAAACATTGGACATTATAAACGGAAGAACAGTAGAGGTTACAGTAAATATTATTTATACTTTGAAACAGACACCCTTCTCTTGCGAATATATGTTGTGGATAATTGGGTCAATGTAGTTATTAGTTTAACTGAATTTGGGATTTGTGATTGTTAGTTTTACCCTTAGTGCGCTACAGATTTAAATTCCTCCAGTGATGCCCTGCTGCTGTCTTTTGCTTAGAGTGGGGCCAGGGGTGCTGAACAGTTTTCTCAGCGTTTCTCAGTGTTCATTCTCAGGTTTCAACAGTCACTGCATGCCTGCAATACAGAGGCGATATCCTCATACGCATAATCTAACACCATTGATACTCGCTGTTTCTTGTTACTGAATGCTCACTTTTTGTTGAGCGTAAGAGAATACTCATCTCCCTGGTCTACCTCCCCCTTAGGCCAGTTCTGCACAGCTAAGCTTTGAAAGTAGTGATTTTTCAGTGTTCCTGCATCTCCTTCTGATGGGACTTGTACCTGTGGTGGGTTTGGAGAGAAAGAATAGTAGACTTCCGCTTTATTGCAATGCAGGATGTGGGGCACAAGATAGTTCCCTGTAACGTCTCCAAGGGAATATGATTTTTGCCTCTACCACTCAGAAGCAGTGGATCTTTGCCTGCAGACCTAGAAATCTTCTGGGACTGCAGGCAACGACAAAGCTTCTGGAGCATCACTTGCCCTATCACTCAGAAGCTTTGGCCTTTGGTTTTGTTTGAGGAAGGATTTAGGGAAATGTGCAAAGATTTCATGTCTGCCCCCGACTGACAGCCAATCACCACCTGCAGCCTGCACTGCCGAATGCATCTTCCTCTCTTCTGCCCCCATGTTCTCATGAGCACTCAGTAGAGATTCATAAAAAAGAGCTTGCACATAAATGCAATTTCCAATTGTAAGTACTCTATCTTTTCTTCCCCCAGCCCCCACCAGTTTTAAATAAAATACTACTAAGAACTTATTAATGTTCTCAATGTGTGGTTTTTCATGTTCATCTGTCTGCTAATATAGAAAACAGTCATAATTCTCAGAGGCTACTGTACTGTTTTTGCCATAAATTGCTTCATGTTTCTTTTTTCCAGTAATCGTTCAGCTTGATTTCTTTTATTTTAATTTCAGCGCCACCTGAGCTAACACCTGTGGTCCAGGATTGCTACCATGGTGATGGGCAGAATTACCGAGGCACATCCTCCACCACTGTCACAGGAAAGAAGTGTCAATCTTGGTCATCTATGACACCGCACCGGCATCAGAAGACCCCAGAAAACTACCCAAATGCGTATGTCTTTGCTTTTTACTGTAAGAGGGGCATCAGCCAACCGAAATTTCTGCTAAAAGAGCCATGCTTCAAGCTAACTTCCTAGGGCCAAATTTCTCTTAGACCCAAAATGTGTAGAAAAATGTCTCAAGAATCTTGCTTTTGAAGAAAGGGTCTGTGAGAAGAGAAATTTTAAGCTGGCTATTTTTCCTGGGTAGTTTTATGGAAGCAGGAGGATATATGGAAATGGTGATGTCATATTAATTGAAAGTGCAGGAGTACATATGAGCAAACTCTCAGAAACAGTACCATTCCACAACATCCTAAACATCAGTGCAATCTTTCTACCATAGAAAGATATCATTTTAACTTCCAGCCCCTGAAATGAAGGTTGAATTTGCTATTTTTGTCTTGGGTCACAAGTAAAGTATATATACTTTATATGTGTTGTGGGTATATATAAATATACACATGTATATATTAGAATATATATCATAAATATACATATTCTGACCTGTATAAATACAGTGGGTCCTGAGCACCAGTGGTCTGAAAGGATATGGGTTGCTGAAACATGAAGAACAAAAGTAGGAAGGCAAATGAGAGTCAGGAAATACACACATGCTGAAAAGTGAAAAGGGTCATTAGATGAACGAAAAACCAGGTCTGACAAGGACAGCCTTTCTTCCATAAATGAGTATACAATATATGGGAAAAAAAGTTTTCACATATTGGAGAATAGATCACTGAGATAATTTAGAAAGGGAATCAAATGAGATCAACTCCATAATTACCCTGGCTTTGTTCCCGGAGACCCTTCTTGGGTTGAAGAACAAGGAGATGGAGCCCAACTGACCACAGCTGTCTTGCTGAACCGAGGAAAGAGATTGGAGTTTGGGATTGCTAAAACAGCAGAGATTTTCTAGGCTAGGCAGTAATGTGAAAGGATTTGTGGAGGAAGGGAGCTCCAGGAATGTGCATAGAAAGTCCTCAAGTCTTTGGCTAAATAGAAAGCTGCATATGCACAGGGAGCGTTCCCAGAGAAAAAGTAGGATAAAGAACAGCTACTGGGGAATGAACAACTGCAGGAGAACAGTGAGCTCAATGGAGATGCCAGAGCTCACCTAGCACTGGGGGATATTTGAGCTCTGACCAGCCAGAGGAAAGACCTCGCTGAACATCTCAGGCATTCAGTAGTTGTCACATAAAGCCATACTTTGGGAGTAGGATTAATGTATTCCTATAATAAAGGCCACTCCAGAAAAAGCATAGTAAAACTGAAAAGCAAGTCTAAAAAAATCAACATGACCTCCAAGTAAATTAACTGCCTGCCAGAGAAAAATTTAACCCTCTTTAAAGGTAAACAACAAAATCAAGTTGCTCAGTTATGTGGCATCCACAATGTGTGACCTAAATTTATCACTTTACTAGACATACAAAAACCATTTAGTGTGATCCATAACCAGGATAAAAAGCACTCAATACAAATGGACCCAAGAATGATTAAACTGGCAAGAATATTTGAAATATACTTATCATAATTGTGTTCAAGGATTTAAAGAAAACATGAAAATGAAAGAAACAAATGGATAATATCAAGAGAGAAGAATTATAAAATAGCCAAATGGAAATTAAATAACTAAAAAATGTATATGTTTAATAAAAAATGTACTGGATAACCTTACCATCAGGTTAGACATTACAGAAGAAAAAATCAACTAGAAAACAATTCCATAGAAGTGATACAAAGTGCAGCACACACATACAAAGACTGAGAAAATAAAGAAACACAGCCTCAAGAACATCTATGAAGATATCAAAAGATTTCATATATGTGTAAAGCAAGTCACAAGAAAGGAAAGAGATATTGGCACAGAAAAAATACTTGAAGCAACAAGAAAAATCGTATTAGAAGCCAGAAGAAGAAAATACATGTTCACACATAAGAACAGTGGCAAAAATGACTGAGACACCTTCTCGTTAGAAATTATGCTGTTCAGAAACCATGAAATAACACCTTTAAAGTGATTTTTAAAATTTTTTAAATTAACATAGACTATCATATCCAGCAAAAATATCCCTTGAAAATGAAAGTTATATAAATACATATTCTGCCCCCCCCACACACAAAATAAACAAAATACTAAGAGAATATTTTATTATTAGGCTTATAATAAAAGAGGTACTAGAAATCTATTTTGGTAGAAGAAAAATAGTGTCAGATGGGACCTTTATACTAAGTAATGAAGAACTCTGGAAATGGCACATGTAAAAGACTTATATTTAATGATATAATTTCTTTAAAAGATAATTGATGGGAGGCCGAGGTGGGTGGATCACGAGGTCAGGAGTTCAAAACTAGCCTGCCCAACATGGTGAAACCCCGTCTCTACTAAAAATACAAAAATTAGCCAGGCATGGTGGCGATGGCATGCACCTGTAATCCCAGCTACTCAGGAGACTGAAGCAGGAGAATCACTTGAACCCGGGAAGCAGAGGTTACAGTGAGCCAAGACGGTGTCATTGCAGTCTAGCCTGGGCAACAGAGCAAGACTCCATCTCAAAAAAAAATAAAAAGATAATAATTGACTACTTGAAGAAAAATGATAGCAATGTATTGTTCATTTAACATATGTAAAAGTAAAAATGTGAAAACAGTCACATAAATAATGTAGGAGATAAATGGAAGTATACTGCTGTAAGTTTCTGACATTATCCATGAAGTTATATAATATAAACACATGGTTGAAGGTGGTAAGTTAAAGAGGGTTATTGTAAATCCTAGAGAAACTGAAAAAATTTAAACTTAGAGGAATAGATAATAATAGGGATATTCCATTTATCCAAAAGAAGGAAACAAAGGAAGAAAAAAATGAAGACGATATGGCAAAGAGAGAAAATACATAGCATTATGGTAGACTTAAACGGAACCACTCCTAAGTATATTAAATGTAAAAGGATTAAACATTGTAAATAAAAGGCAGAGATTGTTAAGCTGAATAAAACTCAAAGTCCAATTATGTTTTGTTTTGTTTTTTTACCATACATGCTCTTTAACTGTAAAGAGGTAGTTCAAAAATCAAGTGTGGAAAATGATATACCATGAAAACAAGAATCAGAAGAAAGCTGAAGTGGTAATGTGAATCCTAAAGCAATCTACAAGAAATACATCAAAATGAAAACGTTATTTCTTAAGTAAAAAGGGTTTATTCATCAAGACTTAACAATGCTAAATGGGTTGCACCCTCATAAGAGCCCTTCTGGTATATGAAGCCAAAACTGACAGAACTAAAGAGACAAACAGATAAGACCAAAATTAGAGTTGGAGATATCCTAATATCTCTCTCCGAATGGTTATACATCTTCCCAAACAAAATACAATAGAAAAAATATGCAAAAATTTAGAAATAGATACATTTTAAAGGAAAGTGTCAACCTATTTAACACTATGCCAAACTGCAGAATACACATTCAAGTATGTATGGAGCATTCACCACACCACATGTGTGGCCCTACAGCAAGTCTCAATAGATTTAAAAGAATTAAAATGATACAGAATCTGTTTTCTGAGCAAAACAGAATTAAATGAGATATAAATAACAAAACATTGGGGAAGTTATCAAATATCTGAAAATGAAACGTTATCAAATATCTAAAAATGAAACATTTTCCAAATACTTCATAAGTCACCAAAAATTTTAGCAAAGTTATGAACTGAATAATAGTAAAAATACAATAGATCAGACCTTGCATGATGCAGCAAATGTTTTTAGGGTTTTATAATTTTTAATGCTTTTAGCAGAAAACAGAAACATTTAAAAATCAATGACTTAAGACAATATTTCTCAAAATATGGTCTGGAGAAACCTGAGGTCTCTTGAGATCCCCTCAGAGATAGCCTATGAGGTTAAAACATTTTTAATTTAAAAAAAGATTTTATTTGCCATTTCACTTTTATGTTCTGACAAGCATACAGTGGAGTTTCCCAGAGGCTACGTAATGCTTGATCACACCATCTCTCTGGTGGCTAATAAAATGTGTGATTGTCTCTTATGTTTAAAAACATTCTCAGTTTGGGATGCAATAAATATTCATAGCATAGATTACAAAATGAAAGATTTTTAGGATCCCCAATAATTTTTCAGAGTTAAAGGGGTTCTAAGACCAAAAACTTCGAGAACTGTTGATCTAAGATAACTTAAAAATCTAGAAAAGGAGAAGCAAATAAGACCCAGGGTAAATGTAAGGAAAGAAAGAATGAAAATCAGTGAAATCCAGTGTGTAAGAAAAGAGATAAACAATTGAGTAAATCGGTGAAACAGAAAGTTGGTTCTTTTGAAAGATCCACATGATTGATAAAGCTCTGCCTAAACTGATGACAAAGAGGGGAGCACAACCATCAACATCAGGAGTAAAAGAGGGGAGGAGTCATTGCTATAGGATCCTTTACAGATTGAAGCTAATAAACAAATATCAAGAGCAACTTATGTCAACAAATTCAATAACCTAGATAATAAGGACTAATTCCTTAGGAAAAAAAATAAGCAAATTGGACACTGAATAAACTGAATTTCTAACCAATCTGATATCTCTAAAGACAACATGTGTATCTAATCTTTAATATGTTAATATATTAATAAATCAATAAACTTCTCAGAGAGAAAACTCTAAGCCCGGTTGGCATCAGTTAGAATTTTATTATTTAAAAAATAAATCTAATTCTTCTTGATCTGTTACAGAAAATAGAGGAGAAGGGAACACTTGTCAACTCAATTTGTGAGGAAAAAAAAAACACCCGGCTGTAGAAAATAGACAAGGATATTGTGAGAAACTATAGCACATTATGTGTTGTGAACACAAACATAAAAAGATGTAACAACATTTTAATCATTAAAATGATGACCATCCCAAACAACTGAAGCTTCTCTTCAAGAATGCAAGGTTGGCTTAACATTTACAAAACAATTCATATAATCCAATATGTTAACAGAATAAAAGTGATAAATCATGTGATTATGTCAATAGATGCAGAAGAAAATGTGACAAAATTAAACATTCATCCATGATAAAATGTCTCAGAAAACTATGAATACTCTGGAACTTCTTTAAACTTGATCAAGGACATCTACAAAAGACCTCCAGATAACATCAACTTAATACTGAAAGATTAATGTTTTCTCTCTAAAATTGGAAATAAGAAAAATATGTTTGCTCTCAGTACATCTAGTCAACATTTTACTACATTGGTCACAGCCATTGCCATAAGACCTGAAAGTAAAAACAAAAAGAGAGAAAAAAGGAAGAAAAGGAAGAAAGAGCCTAAAGTTTATAAACAGAGATGTAAAACTGCCTGTATTCACAGAGAGCTTAATTAATGGATGCAGAGAGTCCTAAAGACTAATAATTAAATTTTGCAAGATTGAAGAACATTTAAGTATATACCATATATGGTCAATATATGAAAAGTAGTTGTATTTCTATACACTAGCAATGATCGATTGGAAAATAAAAATGTCAGAGCAATATCACTGACAATGGTATGCAAACCATAAAATATTTAGTGATACATTTAACCCAATATGCACAAGAATATATACGGCATACTAAAAACCTTTGTGAAGGAAGAAAATAAAAGATCTAAATAAATGTATATCATGCTTATATTTTAAGAGTCAGTATCATTTCTACTAAACTGATCTTTGGATTCAGCCCATACCCAAGTAGAATTCCAGCAGTCTTTCTTTGAAAAATGTGACAAAATGTATATGCTAGAATCACCAGGACAATATTTAAAGAGAAGAAAAAAGTTGGAGGACTTAACTTACTTAGAGGTAAAGACTTATAAAGGTATAGTAATCAAGATATGTGGTATTGGAAAAAAATGTATACAGGTATAGAAATGGATGGTCCAGCAACAGATCCACATATATGTGGTCAATTTAGTTTCTATGTAGGTGACAAGGTAATTCAATAGGGAAAAACATTTTTTCCAAAATAATTGTGAAACAATTGGATACCCATCTAAAAAACAAAAATAAAAACAAATTTTGGCTTCTACTTTCCATCCCAAATGAATGTGCAACAGCTCCTAGATCTAAATGTAAGAGCTAAAACTTAAGCTGAAATATAACAATTCCAGGAAAATATATAATATTTCACAAACTTGAGAAAGGCAAAAATTTTTTCAGGCAGGACCCAGAAAACACTAGCTCTAAAAGAAAATAAATTAGAATTTGGGATTTCATAAAATGAAAATTATGTTCCTCAAAAGTCATTGTTAAGAAATCAATAGGTGAGTAACAGACTGGAAGAAAAATACTGTCAATCCATATATCTGACAAACAGCTTATATCTACAGTATAAACATTTCTCCCCCTCACTAATCAGAGGACAACCTAAATAAAATGGGCAACAGAACTGAATAGGGAATTTCTCGGGGAACGATGGACAGAGGGACAACAAGCACCTGAAAAAATGCTCAACATCTTAGCCATTAAAGAAATAAGAATTATAACCATCACAAGATGTCACCGACACTAAATGGACTTGGGTATCATTAAGAAGACACAACAATAAGTGGTGTCACTGATGTGGAACGAGGATGTGCAGTTCTCTCATATGCTGCTTAAAGTACAAAATGGTACAACCACTTTGGAAATCAGTCTGCTGGTTTTTCATAAAGTTAAATAAATATGTGTCTACCCCACAAAACTGCAATTCTATTCCTGAATATTTACCCCATGGAAATGAAAACAGAAGTCCACAAAGAAATCTACAAGAATATTCACAGTAGCTCTAGTTATTATAACCCCAAACTTTAAACAACTACAATGTCAATCAGTGAGAAAACATATGGATAATTTGTGATCTATTCGTATAATGGAATAGTATTAAGCAATTAAAATGAAGAAGCAACTGACCCTCTCAAATAGGATGGATGAAACTCAAAAATATTATATCAAAGAAACAAGGCAGACACAAAAGTGTATATTCTGCATGACTTCATTTACATCAGGTTTGAGGAGAGGCAAAACTAACTTTTGGTGAAGGAAATCAATAGTATTTCCCTCTGGTAGAGGGAAGAGGGTAGCAGGAATTGAAAGAGCAGTTTCTAGAGTAGTGGAAGTGTTCTGTATCATATGGGAGTGTGGGTTACACAAGTATGGGTGAGCATCAAAATTCACCAAACGACATTTAAGATTTGTGCATTTCGCTCTATGTGAACGTATACCTCGACTGAAAAGACTGGAAGTTTGTTTCAAATACTCAGCCTTTTAATACACCCAGCTGCTTGGACAATGAGCTTCCTCAAAAGGGGCGTCTGGGCTCGAGACTAGGTCACATATGTAGAGTCTCTAGAGAAGCAGTGTTGCATTCCTGTGGTCCGTAATACATTTCCTGTTTTCACAGGCAGCCACGGGTCATAAATGTGAGGACTCTGAGAGGTTGGAGCAACACTCTTTGGAGGAGCCATGAGGGGAGGTGCATTCTCCAAGATGCCCCCAGCCCAGGGCCCTCACCTGCTTTGCCTCTTACTCCATTGTTTTCTGGCTCCTCTGTAGCTGCCCAACCTTTTCAGATCCCACAGTGCATCCAGCCGGCTCTCTTCATGCCTCGAGTCCCACTATTCTTTCATCTTATCCCCCAGTCCCTCAGTCCTGGAGTGGCTGCAGCAAGCAGAGGATGGACTGCAAGCACAAGAGGCGGTCCCGCGCATGAACCCATCCTAGAGAAACGGCATCCTGCCTGGGAGCTAGTTTTTCAGGGCAGCTTTGATAATTCTTGCAGAAACGAACCCACTTGACACACCTGACATGGTATTGACAGTAACACTATTTTCATGGTTGTTTTTCATAGTAAAAGTAGAGCCCTTTAGGTATACTATGAGTACTTAGAGTAAGGTGACTGGCCTAGGAATGATGTCATCTTGGATGTCATTTCCTCCTTGGAGAAATATATTTCAGTTCTAATGCACATGTTACAATATAGTCCTATAGAGAGAAATACAGAAAGCTAGACAGTTAGAGATATATTTTATGGGCATAAAAATGGAAAATATACACTTAAAATCTGTACCCATTATTCCTGAGAAACGTATTTGGCAGAAGGTGGAAGGAGGATATTCTGATCCTTTCACTTACACATTTACGTATGATCTGAGTTTTTATATGGAGCATATCCCACTTTTGATTTTTTTAAAAAAAAAATCTGTCTGTGAAATGTACACAGTTCTTTAAAGTTGAGGACCATTTGTGCTTGTGACAGCATTATTGTACCTATAATAGTAATATTTCAAAGCCACTTGTTAACACTTTGTTAAAACAAGCTGAAGAGGGTGCTGGATGCCCCTGAATATTCTCCCAAGTCTTGTGACCTGTATTGTTTTGGAATTCACAGTAACCTGACAATGAACTACTGCAGGAATCCAGATGCTGATAAAAGCCCTTGGTGTTTTACCACAGACCCCACGGTCAGGTGGGAGTATTGCAACCTGAAAAAATGCTCAGACACAGAAGGGAGTGTCGTGGCACCTCCGTCTGTCGCCCAAGTTCCAAATGTAGAGACTCCTTCCGAACCAGGTAAGAAATCTGTGGCCAGACACCTACATACTTGGACGCTGGGATGAAAAGTCATGGGAAATCTCACAGATGCAGAAGCCTTCCATGCTGCACAGGAAATTAAATGCTTTTTCAGGGTCTGCCATGTGGAAGGAAGCCTCAGTGCACTCACTCTCTCGGAGAGTCAGAGGTATGACTTTTGGCACAATGTGAGTGGGCATGTCTTTAGGACAGGCGCAAACCCTCCAGGGTGCTCAGCTTAACCACTCACCTTATTCTAAAATGGGTTATCTCAGCATCCCCGTCCAAATTCCTATTCTAACATGCTGCCAAATGTATGACTCTTTCCAAGCCAATAAGCATCTCCAGTAATTTCTTTTTTCTTTTAGTTGTCGAATGAAGTTAGAAATATATAGCACAGAAGGGCACTATGATAGGAACAAGTTGTACACTGGGAATTTGTTTGTACTGTGTTATCCTTAGTGGCAGAAACAAAACCCCAAACCTGGCTAGAGCCTTATAAACTACTCTGACATTTTTGCTTTAAAAAAGAACTGGCTGCTCTAAATAAGAACTGGCTCTGCTACCTCCTCCTACCTAGAGATGCCATTTCATCCAAGGGCTGGTAGGGAGTAGAACATACAAGTAGACATAGCTTCAGGCCCAGAGAGGTGAAGCAACTTTCTAAAATTCATAAGGATGATTTGCAGAAGAACAAGACTTAGGCCAGATGCCCTGACTCCCAGAGTATTGGCCTTTCTTTCTGCTTTTGACCTCCAAATGACTCATTTTCTTTTTTTTTTTTTTTTTTTTAGTTATTATCTCAGTCTGTACAGAACCCAAATTCTGATGCTGCAATAGATGTATGCATGTTTTGAGGTGGCATTTTCAACACAGAAAAGGGGTCATGTTCATATTTCTTTTCCATTCCTTTTTTTTAAATTTTTTTTTTTAGAAAAAAAAGAGAGAAGGAGAGGAAGAAAGAGGAAGAAAAAGAGGGAGAGAGAACAGGAATATTGCTTCATTCTAAAAATGGGTATTAATAATGGCTGATCAATATTTTGTGTATTTAAAGTGGACAATGTATATTTTGTGTATTTAAAATGGAGAGCTTTATAAATATTTATTGAGTTTACTTGTTCTGGGTCTGAGTTCAAGTCCTGGATATCCTTATTAATTTTCTGTCTCGTTGAGTCTAAATCTCATTATGGGTCTTATGTATCTGGGTATTAAGATCTCTTATTGTTGCATTGATCCTTTTACCACTGTATCTTTGTTGCTTTGAAATCTATTTTATCCAATGTGAGAATTGCAACTCCTGCTTTTTGTTTATTTATTTATTTTTGCTCTCCATTTAGTTGGTAAATTTTTCTCCAACCCTTTGTTTTGAGTCTTTGTGTATCTTTGGATATACCGTTAGATTTTGGCTATATCTTTTGATGGGGAGATTTAGTCGATTTAAATTTAGGGTTACTGCCATTTGATATTAACGGGCTATTTTATCCATTTGTTGATGTAAATTCTTCTTTATGTTGATGCTCTTTACTTTTTGGTATATTTTTAGAAAGGCTCATACTGGTTGTTCCTTTCTATGTATAATGCTTCTTTCAGAAGTTTTTGTAAAGCAGGCCTGGTGATAATAAAATCTCTGAGTACTTGCTTGTTCATAAAAGATTTTATTTTTCCTTCAATTGTGAAGCTTAGTTTGGCAGGATATGAAATTCTGGGCTGAAAGTTCTGTTCTTTAAGTATGTTGAATATTGGTCCCCACTCTCTTCTGGCTTGTAGGGTTTCTGCTGAGAGATCTGCTGTAAGTCTAACATCTCCAGTAATTTCTTAAAGTAGGCAGTGTTCATTGCAGTCTTCAGCATTGCAGTTTCTGAGGAATGTGGCCCCTGACTCTGTCATCTTAGAGAAACCTGACATGACTGCACTGATTCCATATCATCCTGGGTCTATGCAGCTGTTCATAATCATCCATTTTTTCCCCTAAAGAGTGTATACTTGGGAATGGGAAAGGATACCGGGGCAAGAAGGCGACCACTGTTACTGGAACTCCATGCCAAGAATGGGCTGCCCAGGAGCCCCATAAACACAGCATTTTCACTCCAGAAACAAATCCACGGGCAGGTCTGGAAAAAAACGTAAGCCACTTTGATTTGGACTCTTTTGCCTTTTGTTCACCAATCTTTGCAAACAGAATTGGTTCTGTATTACAGAAAATCTTTTTGGACTGCTCTTTTTTGCTAGTAGGGAGAGGGGCAGAAGAAAATTTTGGAAAGGCTTCAGGGGGCTAAGCTAGAATATAATTGGCCTTAGTATGAAAAGTACAAGCACCCACACGTGTGAGGGTTCTCAGGCCTCTTCCCTTTAGCGACATTTCTTTAAAGTTTCCATTATTGGGCACTGTTTCTAGTTTCTAGTGTTTGTATGCGAGATTCCAGTGATCAAAGATGCCCTTCATGATGTTTAAGTCCGATTTTTCTAGAAAAGAAAAGGCACAGGGCAAGGCACGTGGGATGGGCCATCAGGGCACGGTGGGACTTCCCCTAGTCTCATGCATACTGTGAGATGGCCTCTGTGTAGGGAAGACTGAGATCAAGGAAAAAGCAAAATGTCTGTGTTCTCCCACTCTCACACCACACAACATAACACTTCTGACACCAGACGTGGGGGGATTTCTCCTCACACCCCAAGTGAGTCTCCAGCAGATACCAGCCAGGTGTCCTACAATGTAACCCAATCCTGACACTCTATCTGGAGACAAGGTCCGATCCCACAACTTAAGGCTCAGTTCCACAAGACCGTCCCACTCCAGATGCCAATCCCAAGTTCCGGGCTGTGGCCTGTACTTCTGCCTGACTGGATAAAAATCTGTTTTTCTGCATACCCTCGCTGGGTTTCATTAATATGCTGGAGTGGCTCACAGAACTCAGGGGAACACATTGCTTTTATTTACCCATTTATTATAAAAGACATTACAAATGATCCCCGTGAATAGCCAGACAGAAGAGATGCACAGGGCAAGGCACGTGGGAAGGGGCTCAGAGCTTCCACGCCCTCTCCAGTGCACCGACTCCCAGACCCCAAGTGTTCAGCAGCCCAGAAGCTCTCCAAGTGCAGTCTTGTTGGGTTTTTATGGAGGCTTCATTACAGAGGCACAGTTGAATACATCATTGGTCATTGGTGATCGGCTCACCTTCAGCTCCTCTTTTCTCCCTGGAGGTTGGAGGGTGGGGCTGAACAGTCGCAACTCTCAAATCACATGGTTGGTTCCCTTGGCAACCAGCCACATCCTGAGACTATCCAGAAACTCACCAAGAATTGCTTCATTCAAACAAAAGATGCTTCCATCACTCAGGAACCCCTAAGGGATTTAGGAGCTCTGTGTCAGGAACTGAAGGGCGGAGACCAAATACACATTTCTTATTCTATGACAGCATCACATGAAGAGAAGGATGATTCTGCCTTTCTGTGTCTCGCCCCGTGGAGGGTGCACAGTGCATGGAAATAAACGTTTCTGAATCAACAGCAAACAGGCTTCATCGGGTAGGAGTGCACTGAGCCCTCCAGGGACAAGGCACATCAATGATGTCCCACTGTCCTTTGGTGCTGAGGCTCTAAGACCTCCAGCGGCTCACGCTCCTGAAAGGGAGACTCATTCTCTAAAGACCCCTCAGGGTCATCACTCACTGTTTAGGGGTACGGCCTCATAGCTCCTTTTGAACAGGGGCAAAGGACTGACAGCTTTAGGGCATTCAAAAATAACTTTGCCAAAAAATATAATAAAAATTAGCAAGAAAAAAGAAAAGAAAAGAGGAGACTGGTCATGGTGGCTCACGCCTGTAATCCCTACACTTTGGGAGGCTGAGATGAGCAGATCACCCGAGGTCAGGAATTTGAGACTAGCCTGGCCAAAATGGTGAAACCTCATCTCTACTAAAAATACAAAAAATTAGCCAGGCATTGTGGTTCATGCCTGTAGTCCCAGCTACTTGGGAGGCTGAAGCAGGAGAATCTCTTGAATCCAGCAGGTGGAGGTTGCAGTGAGCTGAGATCTTGCCACTGCACTCCAGCCTAGGTGACAAGAGTGAGATTCCATCTCAAAAAGAAAAGAAAGAAGGAAGGAAGGAGAGAGGGAGGGAGGGAGGCAGGGAGGCAGGGAGGCAGGGAGGGAGGGAGGCAGGGAGGGAGGGAGGCAGGGAGGGAGAAGGAAGGGCTCCCTTATGTCTTCTAAGGATAGACATTAGATGTGAAATTCATGAGCCTCAGAACACCTTCCCCCTCTCCTGCTCCACATAAGCTGGAGCTTACACGCCTCCTTGTTTTCAGTACTGCCGTAACCCTGATGGTGATGTCGGTGGTCCCTGGTGCTACACAACAAATCCAAGAAAATTATTCGACTATTGTGATATTCCTCAGTGTGGTAGGTTGCCTTCTTTTTGGTAAGGAAACTTCTTTAATATGGATTTGCAACAAAAAAAGAAAAGGGCTTCTTAGCACAGTGCTTCTGGGGAGGAGATGGCTGGCCCCTCCACCAGACCCCGCTCTTCGTCACGGGCATCTTGAACCTGCTCTACTATTGGCCACATTTGTTAGGGAACACACCCATCACCCCGCACATGCATAAATAAAAGGAATGTAAAATTCCCAAAGAGCAAGCCTAGAGGTTATCTAGTCAGCCCCAGGATGGTCCCGCTGCATGCTGCCATGACTAGCGTGGGATGCATGAAAAACAAATGTAGAGTCATTCAGATGAAAAGCTTTCCCCTTCCGCAGCTAAGAAGCAAGAAAGAAAATAGAAAGAGCAGGAAACAGCTAAGCGTGTAATGCACATTGTAAACCTATTGATGGCCAGTCTAGGAATTCAGTGAAGGGTAGTGCAGTGCTGTAGGCCAGATGGCCTTTCTCGTAAGTTTGCTACTCACAAGTCGCATTAGGGACGTAGCTTCGAGACTGCTTATTGCTCTGAGACTTTTGTTGGGAATATGAGGCTTGGATCCAGGGAAAGGGACTTGACATTCTTTCTTAAACAATTGGAATAACAAATCCATGGGTATTCCTGAAAAAAAAGGAAGCTACTTGGAATTGTCCCGTATTTAACATTCCACTGTAACCAATCAATTTTTCAGTCCTAGTTACAGAAAACCACCCTGGACTTTTCCTTTGCATAATTTGACTGCTTGTGCTTTGGTCTGCTATGTGGAGGGACCTTGAGCTGGGGGAAGAAGCCTGGCCTCCTAGTCCACTGAAGACCACCATCCCGAGATTGCCTGGGGAGGTAGTACAGGGCAGTGATGGGGAGGTGGTACAGGACAGTGATGAAGATTATGGGAGCCACACTGCCCAGCTTTGCATTTGGGCCACTCCTGGAGAGAACAAGAGGGAGGAAGGAGGGATTAGGATGATAGGAAAGATTCTACTTGGCCAGTATTATTGTAATGCGGCATTGTGGCCTCTGGATTCAGTGTGAGTTGATAGCTGACTTTTTCCTCTAGTGGGTGCTTTTGTCTGTTCTGCAGAAGCATCTTGATGGCCCCTCTACTTCAAAGTCCCTTGATGGGGTCAGTGCCAGTTCTCCACTTCTGGCCCTGTCTGGTACATGCCACTGCCTCTCACTGCTGGGGCTCTCTATCCTTGACAGGCTGCTTTGAAGTCGAGCCCAGACTGACTCTCCTGCCTCAGACCCACTAGCATACCTGGGACTTTTGCACCTTTGACTCCCATGGAAGGGAAGTGCAGTAGCTTCCCAGGTGCAATTCTGGTGCCCTCACCCACATTGAGGATGTATGAGAATCAGGTCCTTAGAGATTGGAGAAAGAAGGGAAAATGGGAACAAGAGTTTTCCCAGTGCACTGTGAGGTTCCCCACCTTGCCTTGAGGTGAGACAAGTGAGGTTAATTTCAAACTCGGTGAGAAGTGTTTCCATCAGACACTTGGAAAAGCTGAGGACTATTTCTTGCAGAAGGATGTGGTTGGTGGGATATTCAGGTTTGACTCCTGCTTGAGAAAGCTAGAGCCTCTGGTGGTGAGTGATTTTAATAACTATTTCCTTTCCACCAACTTCCACCACAGAAATAATAACAATAAGTAAAAATAAATAGACACGTTCAGTTTTGTTTTGAATAGCAGGAGCAGGGTACATAACTCTCTTAGCACAGTGATGCATGTCTACTGTATGTAAGGCATACTAGCAGAAATTGAGCTCAGCCCTAGAGACGAAGATTTCATTCTATGCCATGCTTCTTTTTTAAAAAGACTTCCAAAGATTCTCAGAACAGCCCATGGCAAATGGAAAGTTATTTAGAAAACCCAGGTTCCAGATTCACCAGAGCATAGACTCTCTGGTTGGCTGGGAAGGAATTTCCTCTTGCAGTTGTTATTAATAATTATATGAATAATTATTAACTATATTAATGTTTATATTATTGTTTTTTGAGACGGAGTTTTGCTCTTGTTACCCAGGCTGGAGTGCAATGGCACGATCTCGGCTCACCGCAACCTCTGCCTCCTGGGTTCAGGCAATTCTCCTGCCTCAGCCTCCTGAGTAGCTGGGATTACAGGCACACGCCACCATGCCCAGCTAATTTTTTTGTATTGTTAGTAGAGACGGGATTTCACCATGTTGACCAGGATGGTGTCAATCTCTTGACCTCGTGATCCACCCGCCTCGGTAGACCTTGAAGGGCTGGAGACAACAGAGAAGTATTTTTGAGCACCCTCTGCAGCCCTTGCACTAATGTAGGCACTGGTGGGTAATACCAAAGATGGGACACTGTCCCTACCTCCAGAGACCTTGTGGGCTGGCTGAAGAGAGAAGCAGGGAGGAGGTAAAAGAAGAATAAAGGCACGTGTGTGAAAGTCACCCCCACGGCAGCAGGTTAGTCATGGGAGGCTCCCCAGAGGAGCTGTCCTGAAGCTGGCTGAGAGAAGGCAACATTTCAACATAGGACAGTTATCCTCATTACATACAATCACATACACACACCCACACACGTGCACACACAGAGACTCACATGGAGAAAGAAACCTTCATGCCTTTCAGCAGGGATGACAATTACAGTTTTCAGTCAACTTTACACGGTTTAGATGGCGATGGTGATGATGATGTGATGGGAAGGATGACATCATGTTCTAAACATACTGCATGGAGTCAGAATAACAATGACAAATCACCACTTGTGCCAATCAAGGTCCTCTCAGAAAAAAATGTCATTCTAATGCCAAACTATACCAATTTGTTTGATCACTTCTCTAACAAAATAATTACAAAGTGGTTATATTTCCTTGAAAAGAGGGTTCTGGGTTGTCTACTACCACTTTTGAAACTTAGAGAAAATGTTCCAAAATATGCTTACGATTTTACTATTTAGTTTGGCCTTTGAGATGTCAAAAACTCAGTGCTTGGAATTTGCCTTGAATTACACCACAAAATTGTGACCTTGACTCAAATGGGATTTCTTTCCCACCGTGTGCCACAGTGTCCGCTTCGTTTGATTGTGGGAAGCCTCAGGTGGAGCCCAAGAAATGTCCTGGAAGGATTGTAGGGGGGTGTGTGGCCCACCCACATTCCTGGCCCTGGCAAGTCAGTCTTCGAACAAGGTAAGAACAGGCCCAGAAACCATCTATACTGTCCTTCCACGTAAGCCCTGCAAACCCTTCTACATTACACAGAATGCACACAGCTGAGGCATCAGTACCTGCCTCTAAGTTTTCTGAAGGAGGAAAAAAGCTACAAAAATTAATATATGTATATATTTTTATAGGCTCTCTACTGTGAAAATGGCCAAAATTAGAATCTTTTTCTTGATCTGGGCAGCTCCATCAAAATCTGTAGGCAGGCACAGTGATTTACACCACGTTCCGATATTGCTGGGAAATACTAAAAATGCTCTGAGGGTTTCTGTGGATATCTATTGTCTCATTGTCACATGAAAAGAGAGAGAAGTTTTTAGATCTGTGACACTTTGTGGATTGGGAGAGCAAGGACAAAATTACCTACAGTCTATCACAGACACTGATTCTTTTTCTTTTTACACTTTTGTGGATCACTGAATTCAATGCAGAGGCTACTCATCCATACACAAACTAAAAAAATTATAGGTCGTGATCCCCATAAATTAAAAGTGATCAGTTCGATCCCACAGAACCTGAATATTTTGGGTGTGGTTTCAGTGTAATATGCCTTTCATAAGTTCAGTTTTCTTGGGGATCTCTCAGGAAGCTCCCATAGGAAACAGGCCCATCCACCTGCCTGTTTTGCTTCCTCATCTCTTTTCTATGCCGGGGTGCCTGTGCTCAATTGCTGTTCTCCCCTAAAGAGACTTCCTTCTGTAAGTTTATGAAATGCCATCGATAAACTCGATCCCATTGCATTTCACTGTGCTGTCTCTGTTGATTTTTCTTGTTACCGTTTAGAAACTCCTTGCTCTACAAAGCTTTCGCCTTTCACATATTTCAGATTCATTCTTTCCTAAACTGTGTGGTGGTCTACGTCCTCACTGACTTATCCGCATGCTGCCATCATGCACTTCCTGTCTGTACTCCTCTTCATTACAATCTGGCTACGAGTGGCTCACACCATTATTTTGAGCCATTGACTGCCTATGCAGTCCTAGAAAGTAAGTGATCCAGGAAACATCCCCCAAAAGTAAAGTTTCTCAGGAAACATCAGAAGACTCCCGTGAGTTACTGTTATTCAAGATCACATCTAGCTCCTTGAGTGATTCTTCAGACCTTGCACAGATCTTGTCATAAAAATGAAAGAGACCTCAGGGGAAGGTGTTGGGCTGGTGGCTTCTGTTGGAGTCCCAGGCTGCGTGGTGAAGCCATGGCTTTAGACCTTCATTCTGGAATCGCTTACCTTTGCTAACCTGTGGACATGCTTTGCCTGTGCCTGCCTCAGGCATCGGAAAAAGTGGCCTAGATGGGCCCTTCTGAAAAGTCTCATTCCTGGAGCACAGGTCAAAGTCACTACCATCCTGGTATCTGGGAATACGAACATGATCAAACTTGTGTGAACGTGTCTTTCTGTACAATGGAGCAGAACCAGGCATCAATTTAACTAAAATCTGAACAAAATCCTCTTTCTAGGTTTGGAACACACTTCTGTGGAGGCACCTTGATATCCCCAGAGTGGGTGTTGACTGCTGCCCACTGCTTGGAGAGGTATGTTTAGGGGACAACTGACATGAGGTCTTGTCTTAAATGCTTTTTCCCTCCCTCTTTTCCTCCCTCCCTCCTTTCCTCTCTCTCTCTCTTCCTCCCTTCCTTTGCTGGCAGTGACACTAGGGACTAGGGAATGCGTGTGCACAAGCTTGAGGCAGAATTGCCAGGACAATTGGGTAAGAGAGAAGGGAAGTGTTTCTAGAAAGTGCAGAGGAAAGACTCAGTGCAGATGATTTTGTGGGCCTGACTACACCGCAGGACAGAGCCGTTCCCTACCACAGGCATCAGTCTCTGCCCAAACAGCCTGAGAACATTCCTTAACTGCCTGTTTCAGGCAAATCATGAATTTTACTTCTTGCCACTCAGAAGTCACTGATCCTGGGTGGCCGAGGGTGTCAGGGAGATAGTGCTAAGTTCATGGAACAGACGGTACCTGCAGGGGCTGGACCATATTTTGCTCTTGACACGCTCCTCTTTTCTAGGTCCTCAAGGCCTTCCTCCTACAAGGTCATCCTGGGTGCACACCGAGAAGTGAATCTTGAATCTCATGTTCAGGAAATAGAAGTGTCTAAGATGTTCTCGGGGCCCAAACCAGCAGATATTGCCTTGCTGAAGCTAAGCAGGTACTCACTCACCTGTGGCTGGTGAAGATACTTGTCCGGATTTTATGAGCCATGGCCACTGCGTGGCATGGGGAGGGGCTGTCTGTGACAAGAAAGGCTCAAGGGCTTTGGAGACAGCAACAATCTTCAACCCCAGCCCTGCCACATGCTAGCTGTGCTCTTGAGAAAGGCAGCAGGACTCAGTTTCCTCATGTGGAAAAAGAGTTGAAATATAAAGTACTCTGTTACCCCTAAAACTCACTTAATGTTTGCCAGTTCATATGCATTCATGGTCAGAGAAAGATTCAGTTATCCCAGGCTGACAATTCTCCTTCCATAATAATATGATGGAGAGAATCAAGTGAGATTGTGTATTCATTTCAAAGCACTTGAAAAACCACAACATCGAGCTGGGTCTGGTATGGATAGCTATAATCCCAGTTACCTGGGAGGCTGAGGCAGGAGGATCACTTGAGTCCTGGAGTTTGAGGCTGCAGTGAGCTATCATCATGTCACTGCACTCTAGCCTGGGCAATATGTGTGTGTGTGTGTGTATGTATATATATATATATATACATATATATATATATATATACATTATATATATATACTGTATATATATATACATATATAATGTGTATATATATATAATGTATAAAAAGACCACAATGTCAAAAAAATCACAAATACAAATGCAAATTATATTACTATTATTGTTTTCTTTGATTTTCTCTTTCCCGACAATGTTGTTTCATTAAGCCTAACAAAGTGATACATTTGCTTATGTCACTTAAAGTTAGTGCTGTTTGGAGCCAGATGCTACTTGAGTAAGCTAAGAAACAGCTATTTGTAGGAGAGGTAGGTTTGGGACAGGTGACAAGGCAGGCAGGGTGTTCACCATGCTGGTGACTCTGGAAGGCAGGATGTCGGTGCAGACACAGGTGGGCATGACCTGCTCTTCTGGACCTGGCCACAGCCTGAGGCAGCTTCTCTGGGTCTGTGAACCCAGGGGTGACACCCTGGCATGCTCTGACACTCTAGGAAAGAGAGAAGGGCCTTTATTTTATTTTAATTAATTTTTTAACTTTTATTTTAGATTCAGGGGTACATGTGTAAGTTTATTGTATAGGTAAACAGTGGTTTTTCAAACAGATTATTTTGTCACCTAGGTACTAAGCCCAGTACCCAATGCCCAGTATTTCTTGCTCCTCAGCCTCTATAAATAGTAGCTGATCTCCCTTGTGCTCCCCAGTGTCCTCCCACCATCCCAGCGGATGTGCAAATACAAGGTTTCCACTCCTCACAGTCCTCAGAGAGCTGGGGTGTTCTGATGGCTTGAACAAGTAATTTGGAAATGTTGGGTTCTGGAGGTGTTCTCTGGTAGGCTGATAGATTTAGAGTTCCCACCCACATCCCCACACCCCTAGAGTCCAGGGCATTTAGTGCTCCACAAGGGAACCTGTAGAGTGAGGATGTCTGCACCACAGGCTGGAACTTCTGGTGCGAGAAGCAGGAAGTATGGCTGCTTCAAAGTTGGTGACAATGATGATTCTTGATCAGAATAGGACGTTTCACATTTCCAGTCCTTTATCTCCTTGCACTTACTAAAGTAGAATCAGGTCTAAAAGCAGAGTTCTAATGTTTGAGAGTCCCTGGAACTCTGAAGTATATGAATGTTCTTTGAAAACAATACCATTTTGTTCATGCAAGGGGCTTATTCCAACCCTCTTTCATGTCTAACATTTTACTGGATTCTTACAACTATGGTGTAGTAACGTTCACTGAGGAGGATCGCAGGATGGAGCACCTTGCTCTGGACACACAACGCATTTGCAATTTTACAGCCTCTTGGTGGCATCTCAGTCAGACATTCTGTGCGCTGATCTATAGACTATTCAATTAATATGAAAGGACTCAGTCAGCCTGAGATTCCAGTCGTGCACAGAATATACATGAGAAGGGCGCCTTTGTCATCCCTACTTTCAATGGTGAAGGCCACCAGCAGTTTCTTGTAAGCAACTGATGCCTTTCAAATGAAACCTTGTATCTGTGTAGTTGATAGACAACCTCAGACAAATGTGAAGGTGAAACACTATATTCTGGGTTGTTCTGGGTCAGTGAACCAAGGCAGTGCCAGCTCAGAGGGCTCTGGGGCCTCAAGGCAGGGATGGCTGGTTGTGGGTGCTGCAGCTCCCAGCAAAACAGTCAAACAGCTGCTGATGCTTTTCTTTCAGTCCTGCCATCATCACTGACAAAGTAATCCCAGCCTGTCTGCCATCCCCAAATTATGTGGTCGCCGACCGGACCGAATGTTTCATCACTGGCTGGGGAGATACCAAAGGTGAGATAAATTCCATCACCCACATAACAAATTGGTTTTGACCCACAGTCCATGTGACAAAATGAGCATTTTGGAGAAAGTTGTACAAATTCCTGTCTGTGAACGTGGTCCACCGCATCCTGATTTTTGTCTGGGCATCTGTCTATGTCTTAATCAATTTTCAAGGCACATGATCAAAGGAAGGAAAACTACATCTTTGAGTCTCTCTCTTTTTGTTTTCAGAACGTTTTTATTTTAAATACTTTTTTAACTTTTATTTTAGATTCAGGGGCACATGTGCAAGTTTATTGTATAGGCAAGCAGTAGTTTTTCATACAGATTATTTTTTTTATTGCATTTTAGGTTTTGGGGTACATGTGCAGAACGTGCCAGACAGTTGCATAGGTACACACATGGCAGTGTGTTTTGTTTCCTTTCTCCCCTTCACCCACATTTGTCATTTTTCCCCAGGCTATCCCTCCCCAGCTCCCCCCCACGACTGGCCCTCCCCTTTTCCCCCCAATAGACCCCAGTGTTTAGTACTCCCCTCCCTGTGTCCAAGTGTTCTCATTTTTCATCACCGTCCTATGAGTGAGAATATGCAGTATTTCATTTTCTGTTCTTGTGCCAGTTTGCTGAGAATGATGTTCTCCAGATTCATCCATGTCCCTACAAACGACACGAACTCATCATTTCTGATTGCTACATAATATTCCATGGTGTATATGTGCCACATTTTCCCAATCCAGTCTATCATCAATGGACATTTGGGTTGATTCCAGGTCTTTGCTATTGTAAACAGTGCTGCAATGAACATTCGTGTGCATGTGTCCTTATAGTAGAACTATTTATAGTCCTTTGGATATATACCCAGTAATGGGATTGCTGGGTCAAATGGAATTTCTATTTCTAAGGCCTTGAGGAATCGCCACACTGTCTTCCACAATGGTTGAACTAATTTACACTCCCACCACCAGTGTAAAAGTGTTCCTTTTCTCCACCTCCTCTCCAGCAACTGTTGTCTCCAGATTTTTTAATGATTGCCATTCTAACTGGCGTGAGATGGTATCTCAATGTGGTTTTGATTTGCATCTCTCTAATGATCAGTGATGGTGAGCATTTTTTCATATGATTGTTGGCCTCATATATGTCTTCTTTTGTAAAGTGTCTGTTCATATCCTTTGCCCATTTTTGAATGGGCTTGTTTGTTTTTTTCCTGTAAATCTGTTTGAGTTCTTTGTAAATTCTGGATATCAGCCCTTTGTCAGATGGGTAAACTGCAAAAATTTTTTCCCATTCTGTTGGTTGCTGATTCACTCTAGTGACTGTTTCTTTTGCCGTGCAGAAGCTGTGGAGTTTGATTAGGTCCCATTTGTCTATTTTGGCTTTTGTTGCCAATGCTTTTGGTGTTTTGTTCATGAAGTCCTTGCCTACTCCTATGTCCTGGATGGTTTTGCCTAGATTTCCTTCTAGGGTTTTTATGGTGCCAGGTCTTATGTTTAAGTCTTTAATCCATCTGGAGTTAATTTTAGTGTAAGGTGTCAGGAAGGGGTCCAGTTTCTGCTTTCTGCACATGGCTAGCCAGTTTTCCCAACACCATTTGTTAAACAGGGAATCCTTTCCCCATTGCTTGTTTTTGTCAGGTTTATCCAAGATTGTATGGTTGTAGATATGTTGTGTTGCCTCCGATGCCTCTGTTTTGTTCCATTGGTCTATATCTCTGTTTTGGTACCAGTACCATGCTGTTTTGATTACTGTAGCCTTGTAGTATAGTTTGAAATACGGTAGTGTGATGCCCCCCGCTGTGTTCTTTTTGCTTAGAATTGGCTTGGCTATGCGGGCTCTCTTTTGGTTCCATATGAAGTTCATGGTGGTTTTTTCCAGTTCTGTGAAGAAAGTCAATGGTAGCTTGATGGGGATAGCGTTGATTCTGTAAATTACTTTGGACAGTATAGCCATTTTCACCATATTAATTCTTCCTAACCATGAACATGGAATGTTTCTCCATCTGTTTGTGTCCTCTCTGATTTCTTTGAGCAGTGGTTTGTAGTTTTCCTTGAAGAGGTCCCTTACGTTCCTTGTGAGTTGCATTCCTAGGTATTTCATTCTCTTTGTAGCAATTGTGAATGGCAGTTCGTTCTTGATTTGACTTTCTTTAAGTCTGTTATTGGTGTAGACGAATGCTTGTGATTTTTATAAATTGATTTTATATCCTGAGACTTTGCTGAAGTTGTTTATCAGTTTCAGGAGTTTTTGTGCTGAGGTGATGGGGTCTTCTAGGTATACTATCATGTCTGCAAATAGAGACAATTTGGCTTCCACCTTTCCTATTTGAATATACTTTATTTCTTTTTCTTGCCTGATTGCTCTGGCTAGAACTTCCAGTACTATATTGAATAGGAGTGGTGAGAGAGGGCATCCTCGTCTAGTGCCGGATTTCAAAGGGAATGCTTCCAGTTTTTGCCCATTCAGTATGATATTGGCTGTTGGTTTGTCGTAAATAGCTTTTATTACTTTGAGATACGTTCCATCGATACCAAGTTTATTGAGGGTTTTTAGCATAAAGGGCTGTTGAATTTTGTCGAATGCCTTCTCTGCGTCAATTGAGATAATCATGTGGTTTTCGTTTTTGGTTCTGTTTATGTGGTGAATTACGTTTATAGACTTGTGTATGTTGAACCAGCCTTGCATCCCCGGGATGAATCCTACTTGAACATGATGGATAAGTTTTTTGATTTGCTGTTGCAATCAGCTTAACACTATTTTATTGAAGATTTTTGCATCTATGTTCATCATGGATATTGGCCTGAAGTTTTCTTTTCTTGTTGGGTCTCTGCCGGGTTTTGGTATCAGAATGATGTTGGTCTCATAAAATGATTGGGAAGGATTCCCTCTTTTTGGATTATTTGGAAGAGTTTCAGAAGGAATGGTACCAGCTCCTCTTTGTGTGTCTGGTAGAATTCGGCTGTGAACCCATCTGCACCTCGGCTTTTTTTGTGTGGTAGGCTCTTAATTGCTGCCTCGACTTCAGACCTTGTTATTGGTCTATTCATAGTTTCAGCTTCCTCCTGGTTTAGGCTTGGGAGGACAGTTTTTTAGCTGTTTGAGAATCACCATACTGCTTTCCACAGTGGTTGAACTAATTTACAGTCCCACCAACAGTGTGTAACTGTTCGCATTTCTCTGCAACCTTGCCAGCATCTGTTATTTTTTGACTTTTTAGAAACAGCCATTCTGGCTGGTATGAGATGGTTTTTCATTGTGGTTTTGATTTGCATTTCTCTAATGATCAGTGATATTGAGCTTCTTTTCATATGCTTGTTGGCCGAACATATGTCTTCTTTAGAAAAAGTGTTTGTTGGTGTCCCTTATTCACTTTTTAATGGGATTATGTTTCTTCTCATTAATTTGTTTAAGTTCCTCATAGATGCTGGATATTAGACCTTTTTCAGGTGCATAGTTTGCAAATATTTTCTCCTATTCTGTAGGTTTTCCATTTACTCTCTTGATAGCTTCTTTTTCCATCCAGAAGCTCTTAAGTTTAATTAGATCCCATTTGTCAATTTTTGCCTTTGTTGAAATTGCTTTTGGTATTTTTATGAAATCTTTGCCCATTCCTATATCCAGGATGATATTACCTAGGTTGTCTTCCAGGATTTTTATACTTTTGGGTTTTACATTTAGGTCTTCAATCCATCTCAAGTTGATTTTTGTGTATGGTGTAAGAAAAGGGGACCAGTTTCCATCTTCTGCATATGGCTAGTCAGTTACCCCAGCATCATTTATTGAATAGGTAGTTCTACTCCCATTGCTTGTTTTTGTCAGCTTTGTCAAAAATCAGATGTCCATAGGTGCGTGGCCTTATTTCTGGGCTCTCTATTCTGTTTCATTGGTCTATGTGTCTCTTTTTCTTACCAGTACCATGCTGTTTTAGTTACTGTAGCCCTGAAATGTAGTTTGAAGCCAGGTAATGTGATGTCTCCAGCTTTGTTCTTTTTGTTTAGGATTACCTTGGCTATTCTGGCTCCTTTTTGGTTCTATATAAACTTTAAAATAGTTTTTTAATAGTGCTGTGAAGAATGTCATTGGCATTTTGATAGGAATAGCAATGAATCTGTAAATTACTTTGGGCAGTATGACCATTTTAATGATATTAATTCTTCCAATCCATGAGCATGCGATGTTTTTCCATTCATTTGTGTCATCACTGATTTCTTTGAGCAGTGTTTTGTAATTCTCATTGTAGAGATCGTTCACCTCCCTGAATAGCTGTATTCTTGTGTATTTTATTCTTTTTGTGGCTTTTGTGAATGGAATGTGTTCCTAATTTGCCTCTCAGCTTGGCTGTTGTTGGTGTATAGGGATGCTGATGATTTTTGTACATTGATTTTGTATCCTGAAACTTTGCTGAAATTATCAGCTGAAGGAGATTTTGGGCTTGGACTATGGGGTTTTCTAGATTACAAGCATGTCATCTGCAAACAGGGATAGTTTGATTTCCTCTCTTCTTGTTTGGATGCCCTTTATTTCTTTCTCTTGCCTGATTGCTCTGACCAGGGCTTTTAATACTATATTGAATAGGAGTGGTGAGACAGGGTGTCCTTATCTTGAGCTGGTTTTCAAGGGTAATTCTTCCAGCTTTTGCCCATTCAGTATGATGTTGGCTGTGGGCCTGCCATAGATATCTCTTATTATTTTGAGATATATTCCTTCAGTACCTAGTTTATTGAGAGTTTTCAACATGAAGGGTGGTAAATTTTATCAAAAGCCTTTTCTGTATCTATTGAGATAAACACGTGGGTTTTGTCTTTAGTTCTATTTATGTGATGAATCACATTTATTGATTTACATATGTTGAACCAGGCTTACATCCTGGGGATGAAGCCTACTTGATCATAATGAATTAGCTTTTTAATGTGCTGCTGGATTTGGTTCGCACGTATTTTGCTGCGGATTTTTGCATAAATGTTCATCAGGGATATTGGCCTGATGTTTTTATTGTTCTCTCTCTGCTAGGTTTT